CAACATCCCCGCCGGCGTCCGGTCCGGTCCCGTCCCTCCTGCACGGCGCAGCCCGGCGAGATCACGAGTACACACGCTCACGCTCCTTTTTTTTATAACAAAGCCCTTGTTTAATCACGTGACCCTCCGCCATGTCCTTCACTGGCGTGGCGACCTGGAGTACTGTGACGACAGAGCCAGCCGCCCGACCAATCCACATCGCGTTCTCTCTCACGTCACTCCGCCCTGGGCCTCAGAAGAGCCAGTGAAATCTTTTCTCTCAGAAGGAAGAGGACAGGTTGGTTGTCATTGGCTGGCGCCTGAACTTCGCTTTTTCTTGCTCCCACCCCCCGCGTCGCCGTTTTTGGCCTGGCGTCGGGCGATCAGCTGGAGCCCCTAGTTGTCATGGTGACCAGGGTAGGGCTGCTGGTACCTGCCGTTATCAAGCCGGTCCGCCACATCGAAGTGACACATTTGCGGTCCATTTACTATTGTTACCTTCACTATCGCCACAACAACCGATACTCCTTTCTCAAATCTGAAGGCCTCCTCTGCACACGTCAACACTGTGACCATTGCAGTCATTCCTAGCCATATCAACCCCGGCGACTACAACCTCACCTGGGCAACTTTCTGAGGTATGCCTCCCCTCCATAATTATGGAAGTGGCGGGAAGGGCCGATGTGCCCTATTTTTCCCCCCACAATAGGTATTTTCTTCCTATCTATATGGGTGTCTGGTGAGCAGCATTTTGGGTGATGGGGCTTAAGCTGGTCAGGTACAGACCCTAAAGACACTTAGCAATGTTTGTAGCTTGGCTGTCTCTCCCACCGGTGAAAGATCCTCCCCAAGTTTGTCTTGGAAGGATGGAAGGCTGAGTCAACCTTGAGCCGGCTACCTGGGATTTGAACCCCAGGTCGTGAGCACAGTTTTAGCTGCAGTACAGCGTTTTAACCACTGCGCCACGAGGCTCTTAATTTTGGGTGATGGGGCATAAACTGGTCACGTACAGACCTAAAGACACTTAGCAATGTTTGTAGCTTGGCTGTCTCTCCCACCGGTGAAAGATCCTCCCCAAGTTTGTCTTTTGTTGCTGTTATGTGCGATTGGTGGCCTTCAATTCACAGTGACCCTGTGCATGAGTGCTCTCCAAAGTGTCCTGTTCTCAAGGGCGCTTGCTTAGCTCTTGTAAACTCAAACCTGTGGCTTCCTTGGTGGAGTCAAGTCCATCCTGTATTTGGTCTTTCTCTCATCCTGATGTCATCCACCTTTCTGAACATTATTGTCTTTTCCAGAGAATCCCATCTTCTCATGAAATGCCCAAAGTAGGACAGCCCATTTTAACATTTTTGCCTCTGGAGGTAGTTCAGGCTTGATTTGATCTAGAATTCACTTGTTTATCTTTCTGGCAATCCAGAGTACAGTGGACCCTCGATTTACAGACGGCTCAACTTACAGACTTTTCAAGTTACAGACTTCTCTGGCTGCAAAACTTAGGTTCGACTTGCAGCCAGAGAATTGACCTACAGACCAGAAGAAAACCAAAATGGAACAAAAACAAAAATGGAACAAAAACGACCTCCATTGTAGGTCAATGGAGACTCGACCTAGACTTTTCGACCTACAGCCACTGTTCCAATATGGATTAATTCCTTAAGTAGGGGGTCCATTGCGGATTAATTGCATAAGTAGAGGGTCCACTGCATCCACAAAACTCTCCTGCAGCACATTTCAAACGAATCAATGTTTTACTGTCTTAACTGCCCAGCTTTCACAGCCATACATGGTAAGAAATGCAAGAGTGTGGATGATCTTGGTCTTGGTTTCCAGTGAATCATCCTTACATTTGATCTTTTCTAGTTCCTTCACGGCTGCTCTTCCAAGTCCCAGTCTTCTGATTTCTTGGCTCCAACTGAGTCTTGCCCAACTCTGAGTGATGCTTTTCCAGGTCTACTAAGACTGGCACTCAAAATGGCACTAAACTATTTAAACAAGGCCTCATTTAGTTCAAGGGGACAAATGCCTCTAGAAATTGAATGAAGCCCTTGCCTATCACATGAAAGACTTTGAGCACAAGAAACAAAACAGCAGTTGGCAAGTGAATAACAACATCTGTTGTCCCTTTCTGCTAGAGTGGATCTTTTCCACAACCATACCCTCTAGTATATGTTGTCCAGTAGCAAGGATGAGGAACCATACGTCTTGGGGTCAATTCTAGTTCTTTGAAGTTACCACATGATACCGTCATCTGATGATTTTCCCAGCTTTTGCTGCTTATTTTCCATTGTAAAAGGCTGAAATGCCTTTCTGAAGGCTTAGCTAATAGCAGTATGAGCTTTAAACAAAAATTACTAGTACAGTATGTTCGGCCTACCCTTTGGTATTGGCCTCAAGAGATTCTCTATCTGAAGGCTTAGCTAATAGCAGTATGAGCTTTAAACTAAAATTACTAGTATGTTTGGCCTACCCTTTGGTATTGGCCTCAAGAGATTCTCTATCCTTGTTCTAGAAGGAATCTGGCATGGGGGATAGGCAGGCAGACAGGGTATTGGCCTCAAGAGATTCTCTATCCTTGTTCTAGAAGGAATCTGGCATGGGGGGATAGGCAGGCAGGCAGGCAGAGAAAACACAGGCAGAGAAAACACATTCCTGTGGTTCTAATTTTTGTTTTTAATTTCTTTTTGGAATTCTAGTCAAAATGGAAACAAAGTTACAAAGCTAATAAATAGTAAGGGTAAACAAGATATCCAAAAAGGTAGGAAAATTACCTCAGGTAAAAATGTAAGACGTTTGGCTTTTATTCTCAAAGGTAGACAAAGTGCACCCTCCAGTTTCTGTAGGCTTCCACATTCCTAGCATTCTTCACATTGGCTGTGGTGAGTAGGAAGTTGCAGTCTAACAGTATATATAGAAAACAACACATTCTCTCTCCCTTCTTTAATCAAAGATAGGCAACTGGGATCCTCCACTTATACCACTAATAAAGGTTTAGAGGAACGTTACACTGACTAAGATATTTCCCACTTTCTAGATAATGCATGGTGCCACACTATCAACTTCCTTGGCCAATGTGGTCAAAGACACAGAAACTCAGAATAAACAGGAAGTTTTTTAAAAAGACAAATGGAAGAGAACTACTGTTTGAACAAAGCAAATGGTGTTCTGATCATTTAACATCTGTCACTACTGGGAGCTGAATTTCTTCCCATGTACAGAGTGAGATAAATTACTGGACTTTATTAAGTTTTCCAAACAATGAGTATAGGGAAAGAAAATGAAATGAGGATAGAGTATTGCCTTTTGTCCTGAAATAGGTAAAAAATGTATTGGTTGTCTCATATTTGTTTTAAGAAAAGTTAGATTATTCCACTTAGTATCACACATTAGCTGTAATGAAGGTAAGAAGTGGAAGGTAGTACAGGATTAAGTCTGTCCAAGTAGGAAACCCCTCTTCAAAGAGACTGAAGGGCTTTTAGCTCCACACTTCAATGACATCACCAGACTCCATCCCTAAGTCTTCAGGGGTCCAGGTTTCCACCAGCTGCTGTCCATCAAAATGGAAGATGAGTTTGCGTCGGCCAAGGCCTTGAGCTTGACGATAGCGATTCATCATTATTTGGAATGGCTCCTCCTGCAAGAAAGAGGGCAGCTTCAGTACCCTTCCCCAAAGAATCCAGGAATATTTTCACCAAACACATAGTCCTCTTACCTTCTGGACAGTGATCTCCATCTGTGAGTTTTTGTCTTTCCCTTGCACTCGAAGTCGCAGTTTTGTAACATCTCTGCTGGTTGTTTCTACTACACAATCTAGAAGTTTATGAGAGAAAATTCATACTTCATCTTTTCTCCAAACAAGCACACATAGTAGTTCCCTAATACGTCACTCTCAAAACTTTTCTGAGAAGTAACCATTTAGCCTATATAACAAAAAGAAAAGAAAACCAGAAGTACTGAGTCATCTTTATTTATTTCAGTTTGAGCTCTTGTGAATTACGCATATCCAAAGAAGTGGATTAATGAAAATTCACATTGAAATACATTCATTACTCTTAAAGGTGCCACGGTAGTTTGGATTTAGTTTTTTTGTTACACCTAGGTATCTATAATGTAAGACAGAGATTTAGCTGAGTGGTAGATACTGGCCCAGGGTTGCCTTATGAGCAGCCTAACTAAGCAGCAGTCTGAGTCATTGGTCTAAATGGCTGGAAATGATGGGATTTCCAGGGTTTAGCCTTCCAAAGAGCACCACATTGAGAGGCTACTCTAAACCATCAGGCCACATACTGGCTCTCATTCTATAAGAACAGGATTTAGGAAGGAGGCTGCTGATTGGGAGGAAAGAACATCATATTACCAATACTGAAGACAATATGGTAGCAAATGTATGGTTACTGTGTCCTCCCAGACAGACTGTGATACTCTTTTATCAAGAAAGCCTTGCTGCTTTACTCCCTTATTTTTCCATTGGCAAGCAAACACTGTTCTATTCAGATGAGTATTTGGCAATTGACTACCCTTGCAGGGGAAAGACCTTTTAAATGGATTGATACTACTGGTTTATTTTTGGGTTTTTTAATCTTTTAATTCATTTTGGCCACTATTGCTTCCTACTACATGAAGAAGCAAAACCACAGAACCTGCCATCATGAATTGGTTTCTCTTCAGAGCATATGAATTGGTGAGGTGTCAAACATGTGCCAGGTACATAAACAGGCATAGAATCAACATGTGACTCTTGCTTCATCAATCGCCTATGGTACCTTCCATAATTTTGCTTCTGCCCATGGTAAAAAGCAAGAAGATTCTGGTCTTTACATTTTAACTCTGTTTGTTTATCTAACTGTATGCCACCTTACGTCCCGTTGTTGAAAGGAAACCAGGAGAGATATAAAGTACATATATATAAATGAATATAAAACAACTTGAGAGAGTGAAGAGCACTGTAGATATAACAAGCCCCACAGTAACTTACCAATTATATCAGCCACACCTAAACCTAGGCCCCCAGGTGTGGCATCAGCTGCCAGTTCTCGATCCCGAAGAAGTAGTAATATTCTGTTTGGGTGAACCTTCAGCGTGTGTGCCATGTGTTCAACCACTCTCTGAAGGGGGTCTGTCTTTGGGGTGTGAAATTAAGAGCTGTTAGAAAAAATGCTATATGGTGGGAAAATCTCACTCCCTGCAACCAAATGGCAACATTTACTGTAGATTAAACACTAATCAGTGTTTAATTGTTGCTGCTGCAGCAGTAACATCAAAGATTGGAGAATGGATACTTTCTATCAACATCCCCATCCTATTTCTTCCCAAGCTTTCACAGATCAACAAATACCCTTAAAAGTGTTACAGTTAAAATGTTTCAGTTACAGTCAGCCACATTTGAAACTGTTTGTCAGGAAGAAAGATATAATTTTAACAAATAAATATATATTCCATGTTACCTATGGGACTCACACATACATATACAGTATAGTTTTGCACTGGGCTGCAGGTAAAGAAACTGCGGCTACTTGGGAAATGTTTTAACAGCACAACAATGTGAACAATCATATGAGGCATGTACATATACTAAAGTCTAGAGGGGCATTGAATGAAGAGCTAATCTATAGTGAGAATACAAGAAAGGAGTGATTGGAAGAGAAAGGAAAGAGGCAATTCTTAGTGGTGGCAGGAAAAGGAGGTGAATAGGATCTAACAAGGTTCTCTCATAGCTAAGAAGCAAGCACTAAGGTGTTGTACCATCTGAACTGAGATTCTGTAAAGGTCTGTCCGACACCGGATTTTCAATACCAACTCCCGGGACTTGGCAGGCTCAGGTGTATCAATCAGAATCACGTCATCACTGTCTGCCCCTGTCCCCTCATCCTGCAAACTCTTTTTGGCAGCTGAGAGAGAGGAGGCCAAATTCTTCAGTGTCTTATCAAGGATTCTGAGGAGAAGAAAAGAACAGAGACAAAAGAGTAGGCTTTGTTTAGAGGGGCAGGGTATAAATCTAAATAAAGTAAAGTAAGAACAGAAAGCTAATGCACATTGGCCAAAATTCTACTGTTCTGAAATTTCACTGGGTTCAGATTGTTAAACGGAGTACTGTATATTACAGGGATCACATTACTCCCCTATTACAATAGCTCTACTGGCTCTCAGTCTGTTTCTATATGTAATTCTGTGTAGTGGTTTTGACCAGTAGCACCTAAATTTAATTTGGATTTTACCTGAGTTTATATATTTTTTGTTATATGTAAACTACCCAGAGTAGACATGTTCTAGATGAGTGGAATATAAATTTATTTAAATAAGTAAATAGCCTGGGTCCAAGTTATCTAAAAGACTGTATTTTCTTTTATGAGCCTGTCCATTTAAAATTTATTGGGGGAGGCCTTTATTTCAGTTCCATTACCGTCACAGGTACATTTCATGAAGACACAAGGGCCATTTCTATTGTTGCACCTAAACTATGGAACTTCCTCTCATAGGAAGCTCAGTACAAGCAAGCACAGTCAATGGTGACGGGAGCTGCAGTCCAACAATGAACATATTCACCATCCCTGGCATATAGTTTTGCAAACTTGGTAGATATAACAGAGCATGTTTCTCTTTCACTCAGCTTTACTGTCAAAAGCAAAGAATGGACTGGGGCATTCTCACCTTAAGCATCACCCAAAAAACCAATTCTTGCATCCATCCCAGAAGATCTAAGGCTCCACTATGCACAATATTGTAACTCTGCAAGAAATGCAAGCCAATTGCAAAAAAAGTGGTTTGAAAAAACCTATTCACATGAATCCCTGGTTTATGCGATTTCAGCACATGCCTGTTAAAGCAAGGGAATATAATACTTTTCGATGCTTTTGAACATCCAAACCCTATATGCACACTATTTTCCAGGTTTTCCCAGTGCAGTGAAAGGGAAATCAGGAGCGCATGTCAGCCTATCAGTGTTGCTTGACAAGAGCCATATTGCAAAGAGGCCTAATTCTCTCTAATGATTTTGATAGGATGCTGCATCTCTTCCCTTCTGCTGCTGCAATCCATTTGAACCCACACACCAACCATTGAATCACAGCCTACCTGGCTCTACGGCAGTTTCTCCTTGGCCGTGGTGGAGGTGGAGGTGAAGGTGATTGATCTTGATATCTGCTGAAGAGAGAATAGATATAGGCATGGTTTGACTGGGGACTCCAGACCATTTGGCTTGAGCAGATGAGGAAGAGAAAAAAACCAGACCTTGTTTCTTGCTCCACTTGCTTTGCTGGAGTTTCCCCCTCTTCATCTGATACACCAAGTACTTGGAACTCAGAGGGCAGCTCTGGGACTTCAATCGGCAGTTTCAGAGACTCAGGGAACAGCTGGAGACTGTTCTGAACCTGTAGATATGAGTCAAAGAAGCAGGAGAGGAAAAGCAAAACAAAACCTCAGGACCCTGAGATAGTAAGGAAGAAAAAAGCTGGACTAATCACTTCGGCAGATAAAAAGTAACTGTTACTAATTTGTAGCAGTTAATTATTCTATTTTTTTTTAAAAAAAATTGCAGATTAGTTACAATGAAAGTGTGTGCTAGGACTCTAGGGGCCTCTGCAGCACTGAATCTTTTTGCACCAAGAGGGAAAGAATGTTCCTAAAAGCAAACTTTGAAATATAAGAACATGTCAGGACTGTGGAACAAAGGCAATTAATAATGGAACCATAAATTATGAGATATCCTTAGAAATCCATACAACAAAGATGCTTTGGAATAAGTAGTACCCAGTATGTCTGTCCCCTGTAATAGGCTCAGTTAAATAATTACATACTGTCAAGTTGATTCTGACTCATGACAGCACCTTCCAGGGTTTTCTAAGTACAAAATATTCAGAGATGGTTTACTATTTCCTTCTTCTGATTGTTCTCTGAGACTGTGCAGATAACCCAGGATCACACAGGCTAACTCTTCTTGTAGGAAACTGAATTCCTAAGCTTTGTATCCAGGTACCCAACTCACTGAGATTCCCTGTGATACGCTGTGATATAGGAATAAAAAAAACTGTTCTGGGAAGGATCTCTATCCAGCATCCTGAGTAGAGAGGGTTATGGATGAAAGGTTCTCTCCTCAGAAGAGATTTCCTTTTGACTACAAGGTGGATGGGCGGGAAGTTCAGACTCTGGTGGAAGACAACGGTAGGGACTGAGCTATCTTGGAGAAAAGCAATCAGTTTAAGCTAATCAGAGAACACTTATAAATCTAACTGATTTATTTAGATATCTCCCATTAATTCTTTTCAAGAACATTGTGTGTGATTGTGCCTTCAGTATTTAACCAGACTTCCATCCCTACTCATTCAGAGTCATAAAAAATACTGTACGAAGCAGGACTTTCTTAATTTCCTTCAGAACAAGTGGAAAAGTTAGTAATTTAGCAAAAAAGAGACTACACAATCAGATACTATGGACTGATTTTTTACACAACAAGGCAGCAAACTAAAACTAAATTACACCTTCATTGGATAACTAAAAGTTATAAACAAGATAAGATTCCTTCATCAAGCACAGACAGAATAAAATGTGTTGGGGAAAAGGCAAATGGTGCAAAATAAAAGCAGATAAGATTCCTTCATCAAGCACAGACAGAATAAAATGTTGTGTTGGGAAAAAGGCAAATGGTGCAAAATAAAAGTGTTGAGGTATCAGCCTCCCCCCTTTCTGACATCTTTAAACTTTTGTTTCAAATTGCAACCCCTTGCTTTGCCACCAGCCTGCCTTCAAGAACAGGCTTCCCAGCTGGTTCACTTTTCGGGATCAGCTGCCTCTTCACCAACTCCCAAATTTTTATATAGTTCTCATCTTTTGCAGTTTAGATTTATTTTTTTAAAACTTCAGCACCCATAAGCCCTAGCCAACAGGGCCAGTGGTGTTGATGGGCAAAACATCTAGAGGGCCAAAGTTGGAAAAAAAACCCCTTTTTTTCTCCGATCTTCACCTGAGGGAGAACGGCAAAGAAAGTGAACGTGTGCCTTCTTTGTCACTTCGGGGAGAAAGAAGGTGTAAAGAGAGCCCTGCTAAGCTCTCTGACCGGGCCACTAAAGGCTCCTGTGTTCGCCTCTGTCCTGCCACGTGAGGGAATGAGAGGCTGCTCGCCTGGAGAAGGAAAAAGGCGGCAGAAGCTCCTTATACGACCCCAGCTAGAGTCTGAGGGGAAATAAAGGGTGAGGGAGGGTCCCGCTCCGTGCACTCACGCCTCCTGGGGACGCACCTTGTTGGAGTAAACTGGGACCGCCGAGACAGCGCTATCCGTGAAGATCCGGCGGCGCTTGAGGAGAGGCTTCTTTGGGGTTCCTTCCTGCTCCGAGTCGCTGCTGGAGCGCGAGTCCGCCTGAAGCGAGGAGGAGAGCAAGGCAGAAAATAAAGGCGGGGGAGGAGGAGGAGGAGGACATAAACCATGCCACAAATTCCCTCACCCCGCGAACACTTCCCTTCCCCCCCGCTCGTATTTACCGTCTCCGCCATGGCCGCAGCACGCAGGATCTTGGCATTGCTTTCGGTAGTCGGGTCGCTCCCCCCTCCCCCGACCTGATTGGACGCCTTTCCCTTCAGCCTTACATCGAGGCGAGAAAACACCGCCTTCTTACGTCGTGCGCGCTAGGAACACTGGGGGTTGTAGTTTTTTTTCCTGTCCAGATTTTCGTCATTGTTAAAGAACAGCGACGAATCGTGCGGCACGCGATATTCGGCAATAAGCCTGTAGTCCACGTCTTGGGATAAATGTCCACGAAAGCTTAAGACTGTCATTTTTACTGGGACACCTTATCTGCCATTCTGGGAAAATATTCTTGTTTTAATTTAATTCTCTTTTTATTCTATTTATTTTGTTGTGGGAAATAGTTTTTATGCTTGTTTGTCTATGGAGAGATTGTTTCCATACATATTTTTCCAGAAACGTAGGCATTAAACTGTTGTGGCAAAAAACAATGAAGACACATAGGTGCACCTTACAGATTAAATGTGAATTTCCATGGACTTCATACTTTGTGAGATGTTTGGATTTTTGGTAGATTTTGCTATCCATCCATCCATCCATCCATCCATCCATCCATCCATCCATCCATCCATCCATCCATCCATCCATCCATCCATCCATCGGTAGGAGAAGGAGAGTGTGGGCTGAGCTGTGACACTATTTCTTTTTATTAGTTTTTAAAAACCGACAAACCTCCTCCATGTACTACTTCTTACTAATCTTCAATAAAGAATACAGTAGTTTTAAAAGGGGAGGGACTGGACAGTGCGACCAATACATGTTTAATAGTAATTGCTTACTCTCAGGTATCCCTGTCTGGAAAATATACCAACCAACCTGGAAGCTGTTTTCTAATTAAATTTTCTCTCAGTCACCCAGTGGTGCAAGTGGTTAAACTGCTGTACTGTAGCCACAACTGTCCTCATGACCTGGAGTTCAATCCCAAGTAACCCAGTTTAGCCTTCCATCCTTTTGAAGTTGGTAAAACAAGTACAGTACCCAACTTGCTAGGGAAGGGGGCAATGTGTAGCCTGTATAATTAACTTAAAAACCACCCAGTTAGTGCTTTAAGCGCTATGAGGTGGTATATAAACAGCATGCTTTGGTTGTTTTTTTTTTTCTTTGTATGTGTGTTTGTTCTCTGCACAAATACAGCAACATCCTTCTCACCCATTCTGTGGCAGATGTCCACCACTAGACCCAAGCAGTTCTCTTTCAGCCCATAATCCACCCCAGTCTCCAATACTGTATCTTATTTTTTGAACAAGCACTACTGTCTCCTTAGGAAATTGTCGGAGGATATCAAAGCAGGTCAGGGTATGAGTGTGCATGGAAACATATCGCAGACTGAGGATTTTGCTTCTCTTGCTTATGAAGTCAGTACCATAATTAGTGTGCCCTGCTGACCCCAGGATGGACTATGGATCAGTGTTAGCCTGGGTGTCTGAGCCAATCACTTTAATTTGCTGTCAAGCAGCTGGCCGGAAGAGGGAGCAACAGATACGTCTGTTGGTAAAAGCTCTTGTGCCCCACAAGCAAGCTGGTAAGAGAGGGCACTACATGCAAGTGTAATCCCTATGGAAGTTGTTAAAAAAGGCATGACCGGGTCTCCCTCTGTAACATTCAGGTTTGCTCTTCACTCCCAATCCCTGGATATGACAGTTCTAGGTAAAAGAACACTGAGGACCCTTTTGTGAAATTGTTCTCCCCTGCTTGCTTTCAAACACTCCTTTCAACCCACATTTTCCACTAAGCCGTTGGCATTACCCATGAATTCCCATTTAGACTGTCTTAAAACTAATTACATGTAACTGCAATAAATGCATACTCATCCACTGCCCACTTCATCTTCCAGATGTTGTCTCTTCTGTACTGAATTTTAGGTTGTAATCCTCCTTGGGGACATGGACTTTCCACTGTTTTATGCCTCGAGAAGCATCATGCATACTTATGGTACAACATAATAAAGAGAATACAGACATTACAGCCAACAGGAATTCTGTTTGGCTTCAGAATAAACTCATGTTCCCATCTATATTTCTCAAAGGACACAGTCTCTAAGTTCAGTTGTCTTCTTTCTTGCCTCCCCCAATCCTTCAGATTTGTCCACACTAGGTGTGCATGTTCTATGCCATCAAAACATACTTACAGTGACTCTTAATACAGTTTTTGAGGTAATTTAGATATTTAAGAAGGGTTTTTTTACTAGTTTCACTCCCCTAGTTACCTTCCATGGCCAAGTAGGGATTGGAACCCTGTTCTCCAGAGTTCTGGTCCATTACTCCATCCACTACACCACACTGGGAATTATTCTCTTTAGGCAGCACTGGCTCAAGACTTTTTGCTGCCAGAGGCAACGTAGCAAATGGTTGCTGTTTAGTCATTAAATTATGTCTGACTCTTCGTGACCCCATGGACCAGAGCACGCCAGGCCCTCCTGTCTTCCACTGTTGTGTCAGATTCATGTTGGTTGCTTCAATGACACTGTCTAAACATCTCGTCCTCTGTCGTCCCCTTCTCCTCTTGCCTTCACACTTTCCTAACATCAGGGTCTTTTCCAGGGAGTCTTCTCTTCTCATGAGATGGCCAAAGTATTGGAGCCTCAGCTTCAGGATCTGTCCTTCCAGTGAGCACTCAAGGTTGATTTCTTTAAAAAAATGATAGGTTTGTTCTTTTTGCAATCCAGGTGCTCCTCCAGCACCACAATTCAAAAGCATCAGTTCGTTGGCAGTCAGCCTTCTTTATGGTCCAGCTCTCACTTCCATACATCGCTACTGGAAAAACATAGCTTTGACTATGTGGACCTTTGTCAGTAAAGTGATGTTTCTGCTTTTTAAGATGCTGTTGAAGTTTGTCATCGCTTTCCTCCCAAGAAGCAGACGTCTTTTAATTTTGTGGCTGCTGTCACCATCTGCAGTAATCATGGAACCCAAGAAAGTAAAATCTGTCACTGCCTCCATATCTTCCCCTTCTGTTTGCCAAAAGGTGATGGGACCAGTGGCCATGATCTTGTTTTTTTTATGTTGAGATTCAGACTGTTTTTTGCACTCTCCTCTTTCAGCCTCATTAAGAGGTTCTTTAATTCCTCCTCACTTTCTGCCATCAGAGTGGTATCATCTGCATATCTGAGGTTGTTGATATTTCTTCTAGCAGTCTTAATTCCAGTTTGGGATTCATCCAGTCCTGCCTTTCGCATGATGTATTCTGCATATAAGTTAAATAAGCAGGGAGACAATATACAGCCTTGTCGTACTCCTTTCCCAATTTTGAACCAATCAGTTGTTCCAAATCCAGTTCTGTTGCTTCCTGTCCCACATATAGATTTCTCAGTAGATAGATAAGGTGGTCAGCCACTCCCATTTCTTTAAGAACTTGCCAGTTTGTTGTGGTCGACACAAAGGTTTTTGTGTAGTTAATGAAGCAGGAGCAGATGTTTTTCTGGATCTCTCTTTCTCCATAACCCAGCGCATGTTAGCAATTTGGTCTCAAGTTCCTCTGCCCCTTCGAAATCCAGCTTGTACTTCTGGAAGTTCTTGGTCCACATACTGCTAAAGCCTGCCTTGTAGGATTTTGAGCATAACCTTGCTAACGTGTGAAATAAGTGCAATTGTATGGTAGTTGGAGCATTCTTTGGCACTGCCCTTCTTTGGGATTGGGATGTAGACTGATCTTTTCCAATCCTCTGGCCACTACTGAGTTTTCCAAACTCCCTGGCATATTGAGTGTAGCACCTTAACAGCATCTTAACATTCCAACATTTAGACAGCTATAATTCCCCATTTGACTATAAACCCATATGACTACCTAAACCTATATGACTATAAAGTACAAGAATGGTCACCACCTCATCAGAAGAGGCATTTCATGTTTGGGTCTTAATATCCATCTCTCTTTTCCGAAGTAGACATTAAATGGAAATTTTACACATTTTTACTGGAACCCAACCTTGGATCAGGTGAAAAAAAAAAGGGTGTGTGGGTTTTGGACAGAGGACCAGTGTCCTGAAGAGAAAAGGCTGTGGTTGCAAGTCAAACCAAAATTCAGAGTCTCTCTGCCCATTGCTTGGAGATATGAGGGCGGAAGAGACCCAGCTCCTGTGCCTATTCCAATGTGCCAAAACAGTGTTGGGAAAATACAGAAGTATAAACTGATAGTTATGGAAACCTTGTCCCATAAAAGTATGTGAACAAAGCAGAGTTATTGATAATATGCACCTTATCTGGAATCATTGCTATTTTTATTTTATATACTTCTCTTAAATTTAAGACACAGAAATTTTAATAAAAACAAAAAAACTTTAATATGCAACATCATATATAAGCCACATGATAACAATACAAAACATGAAATCAGAGTCAAAGTTTTTTTTAAAGAAATAGTAATGAAAATAATAAAACATCAAGTAGAGGCTGCACAAGCTACAGTGGATATAAAAAGTTTACACACCCGTTAAAATGTCTGTGATGTAAAAAATGAGACAAAGATAAATCATATAAGAACTTTTTCCACCTTTAAGCATGTAAAAAATGAGACAAAGATAAATCATTGAAGAACTTTTTCCACCTTTAAGGAGACCTATGAACTGTACAACTTAGTTGAACAACAAACTGAGATCTTTTAGATGGAGAAATAAAAATAAAAAACTGAAATAATATGGTTGCATCTGTGTGCACACCCCCTTATAACTGGGGATGTAGCTGTATTTCAGCCGAGACACCCTCATAGACAAAAAGAGATTCCACAATGTTTCAAAGCAGGCAAGTGAGAGAACATGAAAGCAAACACAGAGTAATTAGCAGCCTTTTGTTTTTAAGAGCCAGAGTGTAAAAAATCCAAGCCATTCTGGTAAGGATGCAATAATAATTTTGGATTCTTCTTTACTATGGTTTTCTTTTAAATTTTGGTTGTTGTTTTGTTTTTTAGTTTTCATTCAGAGCCTGAAGAAGTGGGGTTTTCTCCACAAAAGTTTGCAATTTGTGTGCACCAATAAAAGGTATCGCCCACTCTTAAATTTGTAATTTTAAAAGATGTAGCTGTGTTAGCCTGTGCAAGCATATCAGGCAAAATCCAAAGAAACAAAACAAAGAACCCAAAGCATGTGGCACCTTAGAAGACTATTATAATTTAATGTGAACTTTTGTGGACAAGTCTGATGAAGTGGCATTATCCACGAAAGCTCACATTAAAATACAATTGTTAGCCTTTAAGGTGCCACATGTTTTTGTCTTTTTTGTATTATTTTGTTTTGCTTTCTTTCTTTGGACCTTTCATTTGTGCAGTCCCGGGGACCACACCACCTTTTCTTTGATCTAATTAAAACTGGTATTCCTTCAACTTTTCTTTCACACATAATTTTAAGTACTTTCAAGATGTTTCTCAAATTGCAGCCAATTCCTTCTGCATCTGGCCTATCCAAAGGAGGGATATTTATTCCAGTCCTTTGTCTGTTTATTCAAAGGATAATTGTAATTAATTGTACCCGGAGACTTCTTTGTGCAGGAAGGCCTAAATGTCTTCACGGGACTGTAGGAATGGCTGTTCAATGCATAATTCATTAAGCTAGCTGAACTAAAGCACATTGGCTATTCTAATACATTTATATAATTGCTAAACCCTAACACATATAGTTATATTTCAAAAATTACAATGAGGAGGAATCTCCTCACCACAATGGCTGTACATTACCTTCAATTTGAAATAAGATGAACAGCAGGTTGGTTGCTACTGCACTCCTGTTTCCTGTGAGCACCTGTTTAGCTCCTGTAAGAACTGAATGCTAGGCCAGGTAGGCTCGGTCTAATCCCACCCACCTCTTTTTATTTTAAATGTTCTTTTATGCTTACCATATTTTTGCAGCTGTCATATTTTGTCAAAATAACTATAAACTGTATTGATTATATTTCCCTTGTAACATTTACAAGTTATTTGTACGCTTTTGGAGGGCAAGGGTGTGATCAGATGGCTGCAAAGGTGACAGCACAAGAAAAGGTAACTTTAACTAGAATGATCTCTCTTAAAACCACCATTCTGTCTGCCATGGACTACATGGTCAGAACATTTGGATTATATCTGATGTCACAGAGGGGCTCTATCTCTTTAGTTGCAAATCTGAATGGTTTAACTGATACAACAACCACTTAGAGAGTGTGCTTGTTCAGGAAATAAGTCTAAGTGGGAATGTCCAGTGTAAATTAGTGATTTAATCTGTTTCAATCTTCTCTGCATCAAAATAGTATTTGCTTTGTTTCTATAGCATTGAAACTAAAGGGTCATTAGTCTTTTCTGTCTCAGTGGGTAGTACAACACTTCCCTTTTTTGTCTTTGCTGGAAAAGAAAGAGAAACAGTGAGTGAGAACAGTGAAATACTCTTTTCTAATATATCAACATTCCTTTTTCAGCAGCTCTGCTGGTCACACGTATGCACTACCACTAGCAGCCCTGTCTCACAATTCCCATTCCTTTTATCCTCATCTTTAGATATGCAATAATTTATTTCTTCCTAATGCAGATAAATAGAGCCTAGACAACCAGCACAATTAAGTTGAAGGCACTCAGCAGGCAACCAATACCACCCACAGGAAAAGAACAGCGTTGGGGAAGTGCTTCATGGCCATCTAGGGTGAACCTCTGCCATAGCTAAAACTTCATGAGCCATCTACAAAAAATGCAACTTACCTTTATGTTTACTGCAGAATATTGTTACTGCAGCTCCTACAGGAAGGCCCAACATGACTCCAATAAGTGCAAGCCACCAATGGTCTTGTAATCTAGAGGTCCCTGGAACAGATGTGGGACAAGATGTTTGGGAAATCTGTTGCCTCCCTATATCCTGGCAGGATGGGGGTGTAGGGCAGTTAACCCCAACACCCTCACCTGTGGGCTGCCAGTGAATTGCTTTTTCCAGTGGGCCATCCAACGCTTCGTGCTGTACTTGGCAGACATAGCTGGCTTTGGTCTCATTCTCCCATGGAAAGATGACACTCCCAGTAGAAAATGTCCCATCTGGCATGCGCTCTGGTCGAGACTCTATCTTCTGCTGTCGCATCCCATTTTTCAGCCACTGTATTTTAATTTCTTGGGGATAAAACCCGCTCACCAAACACTTTGCAGCCAAGAATGCCATTCCAGGTGGCTTGGTGAGGATCTGAAGGGTCGGTGGAGCTGCAAAGAGTGAAAGGAAATATGGGTTCCTGCATACTGCTCCACAACGGGAGCTACAAAGCTCAAACAGATCTTCTGTAGATTCAAACAGGTCTACTCTAATTGCAACTTACTATGCTAAAGTAAGTCACAACTAGAATTGGTCCATTTAAATCAATTAAACTATGAAGGAGTTGGCTCACCAAATCCTCACTGATTCAGTGGACCTAATCTAGTGAGATTTACTATACAGTACTAAGCAACAGGATTTTGGCCACTCTTGTGCTAGAACTTTCCGGACTGGATTTATCTCTGCAACAATGCTGCCATAGTATCTTGACGCCATTACTGGATGATACAGAGCCATATTAAGAGTTATGTGGAACTGTGCTTTCATTCTACTTCCTTCTGATTGCAGAATTCTGCTTTTCTATTGATGGCAGAAAAGCCATGCTTCAACAGGTATGGCTAAAGCAGACTTGTGTGGAAGTATCTCAGGACTGGGAGACTTTATATTTCTTGTGGAGTACACTGTTACTTCGACCTCACACCCTTCAGATTAGTTTGAGTATAACTCCTACCATCCACAACCAGCATGGTCATTGATGTTTGTGGGGGATGGGTAGTGTACTACAACCTATTCAGAGGGCAGAGCACCAGAGAAGCCTGCAGTAAAGGACAGTTGGTTGAAACAAAGGTGGCTTGAAGCAGGATGACTTAGCGAGTAATAGACCTGGATCAATCAGGAGGCTAGGATGATGCAGATGAGGTGGTGTGCCAGAAGAGTCCCAGAGTGCCATTTACCTTGTACCCTTAGCCGAGACCTTTCTGAAAGTGGCTGGTCAAGTGCTCTGTGATCGATACGGCAGGTGATAGTGTCATCAGCATCAGCAATCTGTGGGGTGAGCTCCAGAACACTCTCTGCATTGAACAGCCCATGAGGGTCAGGCTGGGCTGTGGGCGACTCAGGGCCTTTCACAATCACGTCATTTCGGAACCACGTCACAGAGATGTTGCCAGGGTAAAACCTGGATGCTGCACACCTCACACCACTTTCTTTGCCCAGCTGCACTGTTGTGGAGCCAAGTGTAATGTCTGGACGAGCTGCAGGTAGAGGGAAGAACAATCTTATCCTCTACTGATCCCGAATATTTGACTACCCAAAGCCCCATTCCAGCCCCACTGCTGCAGTTACAAACCGTTGTCTATTACCTGTATCCTCCTTTGGTCATGGAGAAATATATAAATATACAGGCCATGTATTTGTACTCCTGTGTCTAAGGATTTTGATCCATGAAAACTCTCACTGAAATAAAGTTGTTAGTCTTTTAAGAGCTACAGATTCCTCCCCCCCCCTTTCTTTTGCCAACATGCTGACATGCACCATCAAAGTACTTCTTTGGAACTCATAACATGAATAGTTTGAAGTGAAGTAAGTACAAGGCAAACTTCTCTAGAACTGCAGCCACACTTCATACAAAGCCACTGGACCTGACTTAATGAATAACTTTGAACTAATATATTTGTTATAAAAACTTGTGATTTGAGCTCATGTGCAATGTCCAAGTAAATATGCTTCCTCCAGAGGGTTTGATCCATTTGGCATTCTGTCTTGCAAATCAGTTTGGAGGGGTTTGCTCGCCTTCCTGCCCTGATTTGAAAACCTATGCCTTCTATTCCCTACCCCACCCCACCTGACAAAGCTACTAAATTTCAGGAGAACGTGACAGGAAGTTTCTAAATGGTAGATGTCTGATATGCCATTTGATGCAATCCTCACCTTGTAATAGCATATGGACCTAAAGTTACTCTCATCCATCGCAGCGGTCCCTTAATTTGCCAATATCATGGTCTAAATATGACAGCCACTTCAGGATATTAGCAAATTAATCATTGTCAAAAGGAGCAAACCAACAAACAGTAGATGAAATGATTGTCTGATCACGCCCCAAATCAGTCAAAAATGAAACACTTCTTAAACAGGAGCAGATGAATTCAAAATCAGCATCCTAAAAAGTACTCAACTCAAAGTATACTAAAGGTCAACAGAGTTGACAGAGCAGAACTGTTAAGCAACTCATATAATCCTGTTCTGAAAAAACATTGTGGCCAAAGATGTATTTATATAACTTCTATGTGGAATCTTCACAAGACAGTTTTGTATAATCAGAGTAGTTAACAAATTAACATTTAAACAAATGCAGTATTATTTTGAAAGAATGCAGACCAAGTTAAAGACATAACACTGCAGCAATATCAGTTCAAGAAATAAAATTGTAAAGCTGCTTAACACATGAGCAATTAGTTACTGTAAAAGGCCTGAAAGGGGGGGGGGAATCATTTTTCCACACAGCACCTAAAGACTGTCAGGACAGATCCCCCTGGGAACAGCATTCTAAAGGTAGGCAGCTGTAACAGCGAAAGAGCTTTCTCCTGTCTGCAACCAGCAAGCACACATAAGATGACAATAAAACCCACAAACAAGGTCCAGATGACAATCTTAGCAGGTAGGCATACTATAAGAATGAAGGATACATATAATAGGGATTTTTAAAAAATTACTGTGCATGCCTGCCTCCAATACAGCATGTACAGGATTCTATTTAAATGTAAAAGTGATGGGAATTAAATGCTTCTTTGTATGTCTCTGAATTCTGTTCTTTAAATCATTTCCCTCAGTTTTGACCATTATCACAGAACTGCACAAGGCTGAGGGAAAAGCACCTGAGACAAACAAGCAAAGAGATAAGACAGGGGATGGAATGTCATTTAATTCCATTCATCCACACTCTGGGTAAAAAAGAAGCACACTCTAGACCAGAGTGGGGCAGGGTACGTCAACAAAATCAGGTCCTGTCACACCTATCGGCCAGTCAGGTAACTTGAAACAAGTGAACCAGGCCATGAATCCAGTTGTTCTCCTTCTGTTGTTGATTCAGACTCCCATCAGCTGAAGAAAGCACAGATAACTGTTAGGAGTGATGGGAACTGTAGGTGAACAACATATCCAATGCACTCCATTCAAAACAATGCACTTTCGAATTGTATTTTAAGTACAGTGTTTCAACTTGTTAAGAAACAAAGTACTTTAAATATTAGTGTTAGCAGAACAGAGCCCACAACCCATTTTCCCCCTTGCTTCCCTTACCTTCTACTCTCAAATCCACATTCCCTGTTTCACTGTCCATCATGTAGATAACGAAACAAGAATGAATAGCAGTATCTGTATCCTCTACACGCTGGATCCGGAGGGTGGCATCGCCCATTCGCAGCTGCTCACTGTCCATGATTACCCCTGGCCTCTTTGGCTCAAATTTCCCTCCTTCATACTGTGCAATCGTTTTTGGGCCCACCTTCCACACCACAGCTAGACGGCTAAGGTCAAAAGGCATGGAAGTATGTGTGATGTTACAAGGGAGTTGTACATCAGAGCCTGGCCTGGCCTGGATTGGAGATCTAGGAACGCTGACTCTCAGATTTGCCCCTGAAAAAAGACAAAGACAACAAGAAGATTTAAAGCTAGAAAGAGAAGACAAGAATCTGATTATAGCAAGACTACTGCCTGAATGGGTTGTAAGTGGACAGTTGTGCCTTACTGCTTTGAATGTGTTTTGGTGTTGCTTATGTGTTTCAGTATGTTATTTGTTTGATTCTTTTTGTTATCTGAATACTCTCTGTCTGTTGTTAGCGTCAAAATTGTCTTTTAATGGTGAAAACTGACTTTGGTCCTTTCTAAGGAGAAAGGTGGGATAATGTTATGTCAAATAAAGGGATTAATAAATAAATACTAAACCATAAATTTAACCCCACTTCAAACCTAGGCTGCTGCTATGACTTCTGCAAATCACCATATCAAGAAAAGGACTGATTTAGCAATCAAAGCCAGAATTTGAAAGTACTTTTAAGTTCAATGAATTTAACATCAACAATAAAGTACTGTACAGTAGGAACCCCCCTGCATGAAAGTACTTTTAAGTTCAATGAATTTAACATCAACAATAAAGTACTGTACAGTAGGAACCCCCCTGCAGATGCTGAAAACTGCGGATAATAGTGAATGCTATACACAGCATTGGTAAAAGAAAAAATCCAGAAAAAGTACAGTGGGGTCTCTACTTAAGAACGTCTCTACTTAAGAACAATCCAACTTAAGAACAGCTCCATTTGCTAAATTTTGCTTCTACTTGAGAACAGAAATCCAAGATAAGAACAGGAAAAAAAAACTATTGCTTTGAATGTGTTTTGGTATTGCTTATGTGTTTCAGTATGTTACAGTATTTGTTTGATCCTTTTTGTTATCTGAACTGAATGTGTTTTGGTGTTGCTTATGTGTTTCAGTATGTTATTTGTTTGATTCTTTTTGTTATCTGAATACTCTCTGTCTGTTGTTAGCGTCAAAATTGTCTTTTAATGGTGAAAACTGACTTTGGTCCTTTCTAAGGAGAAAGGTGGGATAATGTTATGTTAAATAAAGGGATTAATAAATAAATACTAAACCATAAATTTAACCCCACTTCAAACCTAGGCTGCTGCTATGACTTCTGCAAATCACCATATCAGGAAAAGGACTGATTTAGCAATCAAAGCCAGAATTTGAAAGTACTTTTAAGTTCAATGAATTTAGCATCAACAGTAAAGTACAGTAGCAATCCCCCTGCAGATGCTGAAAACTGCGGATAATAGTGAATGCTATACACAGCATTGGTAAAAGAAAAAATCCAGAAAAAGTACAGTGGGGTCTCTACTTAAGAACGTCTCTACTTAAGAACAATCCAACTTAAGAACAGCTCCATTTGCTAAATTTTGCTTCTACTTGAGAACAGAAATCCAAGATAAGAACAGGAAAAAAAAACCTTTCCTGCTCTTTTTTTAACCTTAGGTCATCTTAGGTTAAAAAAAATTATCCCCCTAGTGGTAGAGTACGTATTAACCAGCTTTGCATTAGTTCCTATGGGAACTAATGCTTCAATGTACGAACGCACCTCTACATAACAAAAAAACACCCAGAACAGATTAATTGGTTTTCAGTGCATTCCTATGGGAAATTTTGCTTCAACTTAAGAACGTTTCAACTTAAGAACACCATTCCAAAACAGATTAAGTTCTTAAGTAGAGGTTCCACTGTAGTTTCTATGGACGGAAAAGAGCAGATACTAATTAAAAGGTTTTCAATGCATTCCTATGGGAAATGCAGATTCAACATAAGAACTTTTCAACTTGAGAACCACCTTCCAATACGGATTAAGTTCTTAAGTAGAGACCCCACTGTATTTTCATCATTGCCAGAATTGTGTGGATAATAGTGAATGCTATACATAGCATTGGTAAAAGAAAAAATCCAGAGAAAGTATTTTCATCATTGCCAGAATTAGCCACTAGAGAGAGACAAAGACTATGCTATGTATTCTTCAACTGCTGTACAAGAATATATAACCTGGTCTGGGTCCCCCTCTATTGGCCAGTTCCAGTAAATAAAATTTTAAAAAATATTTTCAGATCACAGATAAGTAAAACAGTGGACATAAATTCTGTAGATACAAGGCTCCTACTGTACTCTTTTTAATTTGAATGAAGTCAGCGTCAACAATACGGTATTCAATTTTTATACTCTGAGCATTACTAGAGCAGTTAGGGATTTTTTTGTTGTTTGTTTATTTTGTTTGTTTGTTTATTATTCTGTATCATCTGCAAGGCCACCTTTCTCCCAGTTGAGGGACCCAAGGCGACTCACAATGTTAAAACAACAGTAAAACACAATAAATTACAGTACACTTTTTAATAAAAAGGATAGGAAGTGAAATTCTGAAAAAGCCACTAAGAACCATCTTTGCATATCCTTTCCTCTTCTCACATGCAAGATTTAGTCGGAGACAGAGCTTTCTTGCTCCTTTTTTTCCAGCAGTACAGATTTCTGTTTGCTCCAAATCTGGAACTTCTGTTAACATTAAACTTAGTGTAAACAAGCTACTTTCAGAAAGTAAAGTTCCAATCTAGTTTGTTCAAAACTTGCTGTAGGTAACATTAACCACAGTTCTGAGTACAAACAACAGAACAATGTTTCACTAGAGGCCTCTCCTGTTGATTTCTGATAAGCTTCCTGGAAGTAATGAATGTGCGGAAAGATAACTGCACACTATGCATTTATGGGGGCAGTAACAGTGAAGCCTGGTTTTAGAGTGACTTTGTTGGTTCATGTAGTTAATGCAGTAACCTAACAATATTTTCTTGAGAAGGGAGTCCTACAACAGATCTTACTAGCTTGCCTGTTTCTTCCTCAGTCTTGATGCAAGCCCCACATTCTCCCACCCCTTAATGGCTAAAGCACAGCTTATATGTGAACCTTGAATCCAAAAGGGCACTCTTTAATTATCAGCTGCTCAGAGATTTAAGATGATGTTCTATTTTGTGTTTGTATCAATTAAAAGGTGAAGTGACAGATTTATGTCTGACCTCATTTGATACAAAGGACAAATGTAGTGGATATAATTAACATAATTATAATTAAACATTTAACACTATTAATTGAATTATTGCTTAAAATCCTGTTACACAAAAGCTGTAACTCTGAGCAGTGAATTTTGTTAAAGAATCTCTGAGGGCATTACCTAATACATAATGTGTTGCATGACTTGGTGTGCAGGAGATAATTTCTTTGTTTAGGCTTATTGTTGTTGTTTAGTTGCTTACTCGTGTCCGACTCTTTGTGACCCCATGGACCAGAGCACGCCAGGCTCTCCTGTCTTCCACTGCCTCCCGGAGTTGGGTCAAATTTATGTTGGTCACTTCAATGACACTGTCCAACCATCTCGTCCTCTGTTGTCCCCTTCTCCTCTTGCCTTCACCCTTTCCCAACATCAGGTGCTTTTCCAGGAAGTTTAGGCTTATACCCTGCCCATTTAGCGGACAAGCCACTACCCCGAGTGGATAATAATAATCATAACAACAACAACAGAGATTTCTTAACTTACAGCAGTTATCTTGGGATCATGTGGATTGGAGGAAACTGGTTTTCCATTTTTGTTTTGTCATGAGATTTTGGGCCTGCAGCCTATTCTCAAGAGGAAGAGAAAGCCAGTTTTGCTGCCTGTGTTTCTCGCAAGATATTTATTTATTTATTTATTTAATATACCACTCCATTAGTGCACAGCCCTATTCTGGGCTGTGTACATATTTGTTTTCACAACAACCTTCCTTAAGGCTTTTCTCGCAGTCTAAAATGTTTCCCCAGTATCTTAATGCAGCAGCCAGCTTGCTGAGGCTGGCTAAACATACCCCCCCACCCCCATTACAGTTTATAAAGCTCTAAATGGCTTGGGCCCTACCTCTCTCAAGGACTGCATCTCCCTTTATGAGCCTGCTTAAATGCGAAGATCATCGTGAGAGGCCTTTCTCTCAATCCCAGCAACTTCACAGGTGCACTTGGTTGGGACACAGGAGAGGGCCTTCTCTGTAGCCACTCCCAGACTTTGGAACTCCCTTCCACAGGAGGCCAGGCTGGCACCTTCTTTACTATCCTTCCACAAGCAGACGAAAACATTTCTTTTCAGACAAGCATTCCCTGAGTGGCTGGTTGCCCAAGTGGGGTTTTAAATGTACTGTTGTATTGTATCTTTGAATGTGTTTTGGTGTTGCTTATGCTTTTTAGTACGTATGTTACTTGTTTGGTCCTTTTTGTATTTGAATACTCACTGTAGTTAGCTTTAAATACTGTCTTTTAATGATGTAAGGCACCTTGGGTCCTTTTTAAGGAGAAAGGTGGATAAAAAATATTTTAAATAAATAAATAAATATTGAAGCTTTTCCTATGAACTTGAACTCTTCCTAAAATATAAGGTTTTTTTTAAAATAACTTCAGCTTTTCTGGAAAATATTTTAAATAAATAAATAAACATTGAAGCTTTCCCTATGAACTTGAACTCTTCCTAAAATACAAGGTTTTTTTTAAAATAACTTCAGCTTTGCTGCTAAAATATCTAACAGATTTTTGTTATTTTGTGTTCCTGGTTTTCCCAACGTTTGTGAACTTCTTTTGGAACACTTTTTAAACTTGTGCATGACAAATCCTTTAAAAACATTTTTAGGCTTAGAATCCTAAATTCTCCACTGGAGGCACTTCTGCACCTCAAGGCTTGTAGATAAATATTTTTGGGGAGAAATCCTTGAACGTACAATTTTCTGCACACTTGCTTGCTTCAGGGCAAACCTGTATAGAACTGACCTAGATTATTAAGACATTAGAATTAAATAATTGTTAACAATTTCTATAGGGGCTGATTGGTCAATGCTATCCTCCATAACTACAGCCTGCTTTGTTCCTATATCTATGCCACTAAGCTACCTCAATTGCATGTTTTCAGTCATTTACTTACTTTGGGATGGACAATGCATGAGGTGTTTCTGTAGTTATTTTGCATTTTTTAAGTTTTTCTTTTTGCTAACACTATTTAGTTTTCTTTTGGCTTAATAATAATGTGTGCCGTCAAGTCAATTCTGACTTATGGGGACCCTTTTCACGGTTTTCCAGGTAAACATCACTCAGAAGTGGTTTACCATTCCTTTTCTCTGAGGGATCATGGAACTGTGCAACTCGCCCAAGGCCACACAAGCTGGCTCTTCACCTGGGATATATAGAGGAAAATCAAGCTCCTAGCCTCTGGCTCTGCAGACAGATACCTAACTTACTGAGCTATCCAATTGGCCTTTCAGATATCATTGCTTTTCTTTGTAATCTCAGGTCAATTGCTTCATTTGCAGTGCTTAAAATATAAAACAAAGCTGCTTTCCTTAATGTACTTGCGTCATTAACCATGCTTTAAACATAATTATTTCTATTCCAACGTATGTCAAGGGCCATGTCTACTTTTTTCTCACCATCCAGCAGAGTGAGACAGCAGTCAACAGTTGAGGCATTTCTGGGTGTCAAAAACAAAAATCAGTTGATTAGTGTTTTTTCCCTGTCAGGTGAGATATTGGTAGGATAGTTTTGTTTGCTTGGGGCACTATCCAAACTACCGTGGGTGAGGGAAAGTGGGTGATGTGCCATTTCCTCTTCCGCCTCACTTGAATGTCTTGGGTGTCCCCAAAATAGGAATAGAAAAAGACAACGGAAACTGTGCAAGTAAAAAAAAGAAAAGAAAAAGAAATAACACATATCCTCTGAAGTAAAATTGTGCATATCTGTGGCCTGTTTACAAGGAAAGCAAAAGCTGCCATTTCCACAACCTTGCTTGCTGTATTTATTTATTTACCCTTTCTCCTTATAAAAAGACCCAAGGTGGCTTTCAGCATTTTTTTAAAAAGGTTATCTTGAAGAACAAAACCAAAGGTGGCATACATCGCTCAAAGGCAATACTGTATTTAAAGCTAAAAACACTAACTATAGAAATACTGTATTAAAAAGGAACAAATAAAAGACCCCTCTTATGAGATGGGAAGCCCAAGCAATGACTGAAAATACAGTACTTTGGAGGAACACAGTGGAGTCCACCTTCCTTGTTTCCACTCCCCACCCTGGCTAGCTTAAAATATTAAGATTAATTCCCACTGCAGTTAAAAACAAGAGAAAACAGGAGAAGCTCCTGGGTGATAAGAGGCCTCTTAGTGTGTTCCATTTTCACTGCAGTTAGCAACCTCCCGACCTAAAGGGGACTGTGCCTATGGGCATGTGCAGAGGGCATTAGTGCCACCAACAGACGGCCAAGTTTCCCAGTGTGCCAATCCTCCGTCTATACAAATCCCACTGGATTCACTGGGACTAACTTGTGCCTGGGAGTAATAATTAACGGCATTTCATTAGCACGCCTTCTTCCACCTCAGATAACGAGACAAGAGCCTTGGCGCAAGTCTCCGCTATTTTGCAGCTTTAGAAGAGGTGGCCGCGCTCAGCCTCTGCAAGCCCATCAGGCAAAATCCAAAGAGACAACACACGCATACAAAAAAAAACACCAAAACAACTGGTAGCCCCTCCCAGCCTATTATACTGTATAGTTAATATGAGCTTTCGCGGACGCGCCCCCTTCGCCTGACATACGGCAGGGGAATGAAATACTAGAGGAAATGGCAATTCTCGGAGCCAATTAATATTTAGTATGTTTTACTTGTGGAACTGGTATTTCATCCAGTATCTCCGTCGGTCCCCCTCCCCCCCAATATCTGACGAAGCGGACTCGTCCACGACAGCTCACATTAAAATACCATAGTTATTTTATGTCAGTTTAAGGTGTCCCATGCGTTTGTCTGTCTTGTCTCGTGTTCTTTCTTTGGATTTGCCTGATCCGCTGTTTTGGACGTTAACAGCCGAGAGAAAAACTCCCCACTCCCCCAAACGGCTTCCTCTCAGCTTTCGGAGCGGGAGGAGCTCGACGTAAAATCCAGCTTCGAAAAGCGGCCCCTTCGGGAAGAACGGCACCGCCAGCAGCCGCCACTCCCGCGCCTTCTTCCGCTTGCTTACGGGAATGGTTATTTTTGCTAATGACCGTGCCCTTACCAGAGGTAGGACCCGCCTTGAGGCACCTGAGGAGGACAGCCTTAACCATGCCCTTCTTCCTCTGGAAAAAAAAAAGGGTTCACTTACCGGAAAGGTGGAAGGAGAGGAGCAGACTCAGAGACAGCCAGGCACGAAGGAGCGACATTTTTGGCGCCCACTCCATAGCTTTCACTTTCGTTTGCTCAGAGGCTCAGGCTTTTTCTGACCCGCTTATCTTCCTGCTTATGTCTATCTACTCTCCATGTCTTTCCCTTCTACAGCTCTGCTTCTGAAGCTTTTGTTTTCCCTGAGTTACAGTGGCTCATCTTACAACCTAGAGTTTTATTCGGTGGTGGGTCATCCTGCCTTAAAACAAGTAGATAAGGCATTTATATTTCCATGTTTCTCCCTCTCTCACAATTTTTCACCAGCTGTCCTGAGGAAGCGTTTTGTAGACCTTAAGACGCTTGCAAATGATTTGTATTTCATGTTGAAATAAGGTATTGCTCATCTACGGATTTTAAGCTTCGTTTGGCTTCTATATAAAAGTGAGTTGGGAGAGAGGAAAGTTTCATCCTAGATATAATGCAGGGCGGTCAGTCCCAGCATCCCAGCATTGGCCAGACTGGCTAGGAATTGCGAGAAGTTCCATAAGTCCAAACACATCTGGAGGACCACAGGTTCCTCACTTCTGCCCTATACTTTTTGGCAACTTTTTCTAGCCTGAATGCCCTTTCAGATTCTTCAGATTTAGGAAGCCTTCCTTCCTAAGGAAATGAAAGAGTTTTTCCATAAGGATAGGCTTCTAAGGTTATCAATTAAAAGACACTGCTGTTGTGAGTTACTCTTTTGTCTTCTCCTCTTTAACAGATTGTTTGTGGAGACTAAAAAAAGGACTGAAGAAGCAATGGAAAAACAAAGTTACAAAGAGAAGACCTCCTCTGGCCCCTTGTAAAATTCAGTGACCAAGACAGAATGATCGTAGACTAAAACCATGATCTGGAACAACATTTTACCAGAACATATGTAATTGAAATAATTGTACGTACGTATGTTATTTCCACCCATCACTGCCTTGCTTGTTACCAGAAAGTAACTATATTTAGAACAAAAAAAGCAAATTCTTTTGGTACAAGTTTTGCTTCGATTGTCTTTGTCTTAGAAACTTACCAGAAGGCACATTAAGATGCAAGGTATCAGGAAAGCATTTATTAATGCTAGCAGGGATATATATATATATACACACATTCTTTTTGTCTCCTGAGCACATGGCCTGGGGGTGGGGCCTAGGGGTGGGACTTCCTTAGCTAGCTAAATATATTATGCAAAACAGCCATTCCTTACAAAGCATGAAGAAAAGTGGGAACAAAGAAGCCTTAGGGTATAATTAACACAGGCATCCTATCCTTTGAATAAAACAGGTTTAGGACAAGGGTAAGCCCTACTCATCATTTTCATTATGGATAGGAAGGAAACCGTTACAATTTGAGAAACATCCTGTAAGGAAAAGGTACTTCAAAGAAATAAAGAAACTTGAAAGGAATACCAGTTTTAATTAGTTGTTCATGATGCTTTGTGTAGCTGTCTATAAAAGCTACCCTATGCCTTCTGAAACTTCGGAAGTCTGTACTGACACCTTGGGCTGTGTATGTATTGATTTCCCTGCTAGCATTAATAAATGCTTTCCTGATACCCTCAGGTGTGATTACATGAAACATCAGAAAAAAGTTAGTTAAACTAGTTTTCCTTTCAAGTAGTCTTTCTCACAGGATGTACCCAAACTGAAATATCCCTTTGGCATCTGCCCTGTCATCCCAACACGGACAGGTACCTTCTCAAGCAACACAGCCACCTCTTCCAAATCCTCAAGCAATAGTGTCCTTGACCTGTTTATTCAAAATGATTGTATGCCTGTGTTTTATCAGGCCATGTTCATGACCAAGAAGATGCATGAACACCCAAGTGTCTTCATACTTTGTAAAGAATGGCTGTTACCCGTAATATACTGGGCTTAGCTAAATTTAACACATACGGTCATAGATTAGAACTACAATGAGAAGAAATCTCATATATAGGCCAAGTTAATTTTTGTGGATTGCAGCCCTGTTTGTAGGATGTATCTGATAAGGCAGGCTGTAGTCCATGAAGTGTTTTCCAAAAAATCTTTAACAGTGTTCATGGGGCCACCAGAATCTGTTATTTTTTTATGTATATGTTCTGCATAGTTTGAAAGTCTACTGGAGTACAGGCCTATTGTACCTATCCTTTGTAAATCATTGTGGTGCCATTTAAATGTAATAATATTAAATAGATGTCCAATACAGTGTCTCCTAGTGATGAAATGTTTCTTATATATAGCAATCATTTCAGTAGAAGAGGCAATTTCGTAAATTCTAAAATTTTCTTACTGCTATAGCAGGAGGTTTTCACACCTCCCATTGTCTGCAAGTTAGCTTGCTTTGTTTTGTAATTGGTTCACCTTGTGTATATTGGTAAGACTGCTCAGACAGGAAGATTGGCTACAATCAGAGCTCTGGAATACTACCAGATTTCAGCTTCTACTGACATGTCAGTCCTAAATGATTGGTCTTATGGCTAGTATAGGAAATGTGTGACCTTCTAGATACTGCTGGACTGCAGTTCTCACCAGCCTAGTCTTTGATGAGACAGAATGAGGCCCCCAGTCCTGCAGAACCAGAAGAGCCATTACAGTTCCATCCCTGTTCCAGAGGAAGACAGCAAAAGGGGAGTCTGGACACTGGCTTCTGCTTAAAGGGAAAATGGCTGTTGACTGCATTGCAACACAGGGCTGGGCTACGATTCTGGTCTACTCATTCCTCATAATATCTTCAGGAAACCAACTGATAATAACAAAAGAAAGGATAATGGATTTGCTGGGCTGCTCATAGAATACGTTTTCTTCCACATGGGTTTATTACATACTCCATCATCTACTAACAATGTGCGAATGATGGGAATCATAATCCAGTACATCTGGAAAGACTTCTGGATTGCAGAAAGCTGATTTATGTACATAGTTTTTTGCAGGAACAGACATGTCAGTCCTAAATGATTGGTCTTATGGCTAGTATAGGAAATGTGTGACCTTCTAGATACTGCTGGACTGCAGTTCTCACCAGCCTAGTCTTTGATGAGACAGAATGAGGCCCCCAGTCCTGCAGAACCAGAAGAGCCATTACAGTTCCATCCCTGTTCCAGAGGAAGACAGCAAAAGGGGAGTCTGGACACTGGCTTCTGCTTAAAGGGAAAATGGCTGTTGACTGCATTGCAACACAGGGCTGGGCTACGATTCTGGTCTACTCATTCCTCATAATATCTTCAGGAAAACAACTGATAATAACAAAAGAAAGGATAATGGATTTGCTGGGCTGCTCATAGAATATGTTTTCTTCCACATGGGTTTATTACATACTCCATCTACTCTACTAACAATGTGCGAATGATGGGAATCATAATCCAGTACATCTGGAAAGACTTCTGGATTGGAGAAAGCTGATTTATGTACATAGTTTTTTGCATGTCCGGTTAAAAGGCTGTGGTTGAAAGGAGTGGTTAAATTTGTTCCGAACAAATTATTTTACAGTTCCCATCAATTATTCACCTCCCCAACCATTCATGTAGTGAGACTGGGACTGAAAACAATAACAAAAATGTTGTGCCTACTTAAGGAGTTATCCCCTAATGGAAAAGCTGGAACTTGGAAAATATAGTTTTCTGAGTTACAGTTCCCAGAATCCTGCAACTAGCATTGGCATTGGGTGGTGTGTTCTGGGGGTTGTTTCTTCTCTATAGCAAATTATACATTGTATATTTGTATATAAGTTTGTGTTGTTATGCACGATAAGTAACTGGAATCTGATTGATTGTTGGAGGTTGGATGTGTGCCAAAAGAGACGATGAAAGGGTTGAAAAGTATAATGGAACATTTCTGAATTGAACTACCGGTATTATATGATCGCTTCCTAACTAAAGAATGGCTTTGAAATAAGACCGCATGTGTGTGTGTGAAAGAGTAACTGATGTAGAACAAATAGAAGTGAGTGAGCCGTCCCCTCAGAATATGAAGATGGAAACAGAAAAGAATGTAGACCAAGGTATAACAGGACAAAGAGAAAAGTTAAGGGCTAAAGGAGAGGAGGAGGAGGAGCCAAGTGTGAGAAAAACGGAGATTGAGATCTTTTTGGTCGAGGAAAGAAAGGGAGGAAAAGGGGAGGAGCAGTTAATGTCAGTCTGAGAGGAGGAAAGTGAAGAGAGTGGAAGTGGGAGACAAGAGTTTAGGATCCCGGTAAAGTCAGGATGGAATAAGAATGGGGGAAAATGAGAAAGAAAGGAGAATAAAGGTGTGTGTGAGTTGCTGGAGGTTACAAATTTAAAAGTGGGAGGACTCTTGCCGGATCCAAAAAGAACAGAGGTGAGCGACGCAATACCAGACCATCTGGAATGGAGGGTGGTGGTCTTCCCTCGAGGACAAAGTCCCTCGAAGAAGGTGATCAGGCCGGAATCTATCCATACCAGTCCTTGTCCTGAGGGAGATTGAGCCCGCCACCCTTGTTGTGGGACTATATGTGCAGTCAAGAGTGCTCCTTTGAGGAAGCCCACCGACCAGGAGCGCTTTGGATCAGCCCCGCAGTAACCGAGGAGAGACATCTCAAAAAGTTAAATTTATCCAAATCTGAACCTTGTTCAAATGTTGATCTGCTTGAACCCACAGAAGTTATCGTTGAATCCCCTACATTTGGCCCTAATAAAAAATTAAATGTTCAACAAAAGACTCGCTTGTTATTTCCTGCCAAAGGAGAGGAACTGCTTCAACTGTTTAACGAACCCAATCACAGTGTGTGAGAGAGAACTATAAAGTTATGAAGTGGTGGGAAGATACCACTCTTAGCACTGAAGGTCTGTTTTTGTGAAGCAGTTGTGAAAAAATAGTGTGCTCTTTTTGAAACCTGTGAAACCAAACACTCATCTCTATATGCAAAAGGAACTGCATGTACAGTGGTGCCATGACTTACAAATGCCCTGACCTACAAACAATTTGACTTACGAACAGCTCTGGCCGCAAAATTTTGCTTTGACTTGTGGCCGGAGCTTTGACTTACAAATGGAAAAAAGGCAGGAGGAAAAGGCGGGAAATTCAAACCGTTGGTGGCGAAGAGGCTGTTTCTTTGTAGCTCTTTCGGCCCAAGGGTTAGAGCAGGGGGACAGGGAACTTTTTTACTTCTGCCAAGCAGGAGGAGGAAGGAGAGGTGGGGCGGCTCTGGATCGCCGCCTGGCGCAGGAAGCCGGTGCGCTCCTTACCCATCCCTGGCGCAGGTCTACTCGGGAATAAGCGCCACAGAAGTAAAACACACATATCTTTAAACATAGAAATGACAAGACATTATACCTATGCATACCACTGATCATTGCTGAGACAGTGGGTAGGAAAGGTAAATCAGTATCACATACATACACATACACGCTGCAGTTCTAGGGGAAATGATCCCCCTTGTCTCCAGATGGCTATGTTTTGCTATCTAACCTGGTCAGCATGGGTCATCTATTCTGCTCTTAGAAGCAGTGCTGAGGTACTGCTTGAGATCTTGCAGCCTTTTATTTTATTTATTTATTTAATTAATTTATAACCCGCCTATCTGGCCCACCGGACTACTCTGAGAATCTCTTCCTTTAATCTGCAGCTTTGAAGCCAGGTGCAGTTATGCAGTGACTTCAGAATTTTTATAAGTCTTTATTTCTCATAGCAAGACCAAACTCTTCCTGTCTACCCCCACCATCCAAGTACTGTATAATAATCACTATCAGAAGACATCCTGTTTAGCTGGGAAACATGAATCAGTTAAAAACAGATGGCCCAAGAAACTTGATTTAGCTATAGAATGTTTTTATTTTACAGGATGTCGGAGCTGCCACGGCAAACTGGGGGAACAGCCAAAGGATAATATACAAAATATACATATTCCACAGTGAAAATATACTTTTCTGAGTTACAGTTCCCAGAATCCTGTGAACAGTGGTTGGAGATCTATAGCCTTGTCTTCTTGTCCTCTAGAGAACTGAACATGATTTGAAAGATAAGCCATTTCATATGTGGCATATACTTCTTTGTCTTTCCTCTCTGCTTGAATGTGTACAGATGTGCCTTCTTACAGGAGCTGGTAATGTGCTTTCCCTCCTGCTTTTGATCAAGATCTGATTCGCTCCACCACTGATCTAACGACATATGTACTTAGCTCTCAATGGAGAGCCAATTTTTTCTTTCTCTTCACTGCTAACTCCATGGATTATACATCGAATTAATGAGAGAAAATCCACACAGCCATCAAGTTTATTTAAATCTAGCACCTATTGTAACAAGTCTTTTTTATTTGAAATACTGCACCAGGCCAAGGCTAGGGCAGTATGGTTTTGTGAATGTCACAGGCACCAATCAATTACAGTTACAACAGAAGCTGGTTGCTCTGGGGGAAAGTAACTTTATAATTGCCACAGGGTCCAACCAGTCTCTACTCTGCACCATTTGCTTCTGGGAATAATTAAAAGCGATTGTTCATAAGCTAGATTCTCTGAGGACAATTAAACATTGGAACAAAGGGGTGTGGATATGGATCAATAGCATGTTTACCACTTGAGCTTTTGTTTACCTACATGAACCTGTAAACATTATTATTATTTTAAAAATTATCTTTGGCCAGAAGTGATTGTGGGACAATATACATATAAAATAATATCTTCTATCAATCTCCTTTAAAAAAAATAGTTTGCCTACTCTCAGCTGTTTTCAGCTTTCAATCCAGATGTTTGGACTTCTTCCAGCTGTCATTGCCAAAGGTCTACCCAAGGAGTCTTATTTCCCAGGCCTTTCTTACAGCCTTTTAGAAGCACTCTACATACTCCTGTGCCTAGACTTACAAATCTAGCAACAGAGTGCAACATCCCGAAATTCTTGGTAGAATCATCTTGACCTGAGAGAAAAGGAATTGCAAAGGGCCAAGCTCCAGAGCCTGCCCCATGCCTCTTTGGCTAGTTCTAGTCTGAGCACAGCAAATCCCCGTTAAGATCAGTGCCAAGAGGAATGGAAAGATTTTGCTGGGTGGAACTGAAGACTCCATCTGTGGAAGAAAATAAAGAGGGAGACAAGAATAGGAGAGATTATAAAAGCTACGCATGATAACCTAAATGGGAGCACAGCCTCTTACAGACAGTGGTTTTATGAACATTTAGAAGTCAGTATCATGAAGAGAATTCAGCAACAAGAGAATCTTAACTTTTGTTATTTAAAAAAAAAAACCCAGAAGTCCACATTTATGGGATTAGGTAACAAAGACAGGTTTGAAAACACAAGGCTTCAACTGTGAAAATATCTAGGTACACAACACTTCCACCCTCTAAACCCATCCACTTACTTTCTCCATATGGATCCAAGTTGCCTTCTTTCCGTGTAATTAAATTGTTTGGGCTTTCCATATTTTCATAGGAATCAGCATCTGCAAAAGAGACCTGGGTAAAAGAAACTTAACTTCTAGTCCCTTAAACAGAATTTACAGGTCTGAATATAATTGGACGTAGCCACAGAGTATACAGCTGCTAACTCTCCTTCCTCCCAGCAATAGGAAATTCAGCAGGTATAGTTTTCTCTAGTATTTACAGACATATGTAATTATGAGCAGAGGTGGAAAGTTCTTCACCTGCCAAATTCCTGCCCCATCCAGGGAAGTATGTGAAGAGAAATGGCAACCACCCATAATCAGGTAATATATTAGAAATGCACACCTTCCTTTTTGCTGTTATCCATAGGTTCAGAGCAATCCTAAAAATCTGCTCTTTGCTTATATTTGTAAAATATAAAAGTATTATTTATATCAATATATGGAAAAAACAAGGTTTAGACATTTGACCATTAGCTGTCACACCTGAGCTTCTAGTGTGCTAACCCTGCATAGTGTTCCTGGGTGTCGCTCTTCTCAACCCACAAGGTCACATTTCCCTCTTAGAAGACCCTGGTGTTTTGGAACTTACCCTCCTCATTGCTTGTGTTGGGTTGCAGATGGGTCTTGATTGCACTGGGGGACAAGGACCCATTCATCTCTTCATAGGACTGGGAGCCTGATGGAGGAAATCAGTACTCATACGTGATAGTAATAGGGTCTCAACTAAATGAAGGACCTAGCTGTTGTAATTTAACTTATCTGGAGCTTCCTAGTATATTGCACCCATCCTTTTTCTAAACATAGGCCTTTTGAAAAATATTTTCTCCACCCCCTTCAGAACAGTGCCTAGGCTCCAGGCTTTTAACAGGAAGAGCAAAACCAGAATCACTTGGAGGATTCTTGTGATTCAAAGACCCAACCATCTTTTACCCTCACCTGTAGAGGCCTCACTGTCTCCATCCTGCTTGTCCACATGAGGATCCAGAGCCAGCTGCAGGCGCAAACCTGGGCATAAAGATAGATGCCAAAGCCAGTGCATTCACAGAAGCATCATAAGAACATAAGAATGTACTGTAAAAAGAGAAGTACCCAGCCCAAACTAATTACAGTAATGGGGTTGTTGTGATGGTAAACGAGTAGGATGCTCTCCTTTTTTTTTTCTTTAGGCATCCTTCAGTCTCGAGAGACTATGGTAACATGCTCTGTATCGAGGACTTGGTTCAGCATCTAGTGTGGCTGAAAAGGCTAATTCGAGAGTGACAATCCCTTCCACACTGAAGACAAATACAATCTGTCCCCTGTCCAGCTCCCTGGTTTTGCTGCTTCTGGGACTGCCTCTTTGCCTCGGCCTGCTGGACAAGGGTCTCTTCAAATTGAGAGAGGCCGTGATGCACCGCTTGCCTCCAGGCTAAGCTTGTTGGAAGAATTACAGAACAAAAATGTAGTACTAGTTATTAGTAGCAGTAATAACGGTAATGACGATTATGTGCTATTTTATTTATTTGTTACCTAAGCATTCTTCCAGAGAGCGAAAAATAGTCCACCACCTCATTTTTATCTTGCCAATCATTCTGTGAGGGATGTTCTGCTGAGAGAGGACACTTGCCCCTAGACAATTTTGTAACCAAGTAGGGATTTGAACTTGGGTCTCCCCAAACCTACTCCCAAACAATAGCCACATTACACTGTTTTCTTGGTCTTTAGTAAACATGTAGGTTTAGCACATGTAGCATACTTTTAGAACAGCTCCCTTAAGTGATGTATAAAACTTGTGATTTAGTGTGCTGTATTTTGTGATTGGCCACTGGAATATAAGCATAGGTTTAATTTGCAAGTAAGATTGCTGAGGTCATTAGAAAATGCCATTATGGGAAGGAAAACACATAAACCATAGGGAATACATATTCCCGTAATGTCTACCTTGATTCTCAGAAAAGGTGCCTTAGATTTTGCATTCTGAGGGTTCTATCTAGTACCTGCTATCAGCCGTGCTGCACCAGGACTGAAAGATGCCTCCTTTTCCAAGTTCTCATAATTTTGACCATCTGTTGGGGAAACAAAGAGAGATATGATTACCATCATAAGTGGGACTGAATGGCTTTAAGGGGGTGCCTGCCTTTTACTGAGATATGATAATGTTTTCTCTGGGCAATTATTAGGTTAAGACAGAAAGCCAAGGGCGTTCCCATGGCAGCTTGCTGATGGTACCACAGAGGAAAGTCTCATAACAGGGATATGGGGTGATGAAAGCCACTAAGAGCAACAATTGACATACAGATGTAGTATTGAGACATATGGCAAAATAAGGCTCTCCATCCCATTGAGAGGTCTTACTGGTCCTTCCCTCCTGAGGCCCTCCTTTCACCAAGGGTAAGGAATGGCTTTTAGCTATGCCACGGATAGGGATGTTCTTACAAACTGCAGGCTAAATACAACTTCAGAGAAGTTCTGAAAACTCAAGATGCTCTCCAGTGCTGGTTGGAAGCCAAAGTGTGAACACAGTCCAGAATGGGAACACACATAGACGGGAAACCAACAACAGTGGTATCATACGGAATGAGGTGTGGCTATCTGGGAGGGCTCAGAAAATGGACTGGTCCAGAATCAAACAAGAACTAGAGGTTCCAATTCTGTGCTAGATTAATCCCAGCAAGGGTGTCTTGCTTCACTCAGATTTATTCATTGCATGCATTGAGATCAAGCTCTCTTTCTCAAAGAGTTATCCCTACAATTCTGAAGGTATCAAAGTCCGTGTACAGTATCGGTTAATTTCATAATTTTATAGATAACTTTGGGTGTGAGTGTAGTCTAAAATAAACAATACTGTATTTTCTTTGGGGGTATATGTTTTCCATTCAGCTGAGGGTTTTTTTTAAAAATTCCTCTTCATAGTATCATAGAAAAATGAAGTTGGAAAGGGCCTACAAGGCGATTAAGTCCAACCCCCTGCTCAATGCAGGAATACAATCAAAGCATATCTACCAGGTGGTTATCTAAGTTTTTTTTGAATGCTTGCAGTGTTGGAGCACTCACCAACTCCCAAGGTAACTGCTTCCACTGTCGTACTGCTTTAACAGTTAGAAAGTTTTTCCTGATATTCAACCGAAATCTGGCTTCCTTTAACTTGAGCCCATTGTTGCATGTCCTGCACTTTGGGATGATCCAGAACAGATGTTGCCCCTCCTTTGTATGACAGCCTTTCAAATATTTGAAAAGTGCTATCATATCACCCCTCAGTCTTCTTTTATCAAGGCTAAATGTGCCCAATTCTTTCAGCCTTTCTTCATTAGGCTTGGTTTCCAGGCCATCCTTGTCGCCCTCCTCTGAACTTGTTCCAATGACTTAGCATCCTTCTTGAAGTGTGGTGTCCAGAACTGGACACAATACTCAAGGTGAGGCCTAACCAGTGCTGAATAGAGGGGGACTAGCACCTTGCGGGATTTGGAAACTATACTTCTATTAATGCACCCTAAAATAGCATTTGCCTTTTTTTGTAACCACATCACCCTGTTGGCTCATATTTAGTTTGTGATCTACCACAATCCCAAGATCCTCCTCGCTGGTAGTTTTGCTTAGCCAAGTATCCCCCATCTTGTAACTGTGCAATTGTTTTCTTTTTCCAAGGTGCAGTACTTTGCACTTATCCCTGTTGAATTTCATTCTGTTGCTTTCGGCCCAGTGCTCTATCCTATCAGGGTCAATTTGAATTTTGTTTCTGTCTTCCAGGGTACGTATTAGCTATTCCGCCCAATTTGATATCATCTGCAAATTTGACAAGCATTCCCCTCTTGTTTAGTTACGTAGACCATCCCAAGTCCCTATGCACTCCCTTGGACACTACCTTCATCAAGTGGATCTTGAGTCAGAATCTTAGGAGCCTGCTGGATATTGTTTTCATACAGTTGGTCAGCTGTGGGTTACAAGACAGTGGTTGGTTAGAAAATTAAGCCGATATAGTCCCATGACACCTGCTCCCCACCCACCCCATTGAACCCTCCTTCCCTTACCAATATCTGAGCTCCTGTTGTATGAGCCATCTTCTGTCTTTTTTGTGCTGTTTTCATAGAGAAATTTGTCTGTGAATTAAAGAGCAGTAGTTGTCAAGTTAAACTCTGTCTATGAAGAAAAGATGTAAGAAAAAGAAAGGCTGTAGGTCATATGAAGGCAAAAAAAATCCCAGGTTCAATCACAGTCATTTTAATTTAAAAGGATCTGAAGGGAGAAACAGAGAAGTGCAGTTTTGCAATGAGACATGGAGATGCCTTAAGCAGTAAAAGAGGTCTGATTATCTTCTGGTGCTGTTTTGCAGATTAGTCAGTTGCAAATAAGCTTGCTTTTGTTTGGTGATTGGCCCATTTGCCTGTTGATCCTTCAAACAGCAGCTATGAAGAATGCTCTTCTGCAGAGATAATATGTTATTACCTCAGAAATACTAAGTTGTCTGTCTCCATTTCTAACCAGAGATACCTACTTTGAGAAGGTATCATCTCTTTCCCTCAGACCCTAAAGCAGGGGGACAACCTGTAGCCAGATGCAGCCATTGACCATTCCTCATATGGACACCCTACCCACTTTCCTAACATTCCACTGCAATTGATGGGAAGGAAAAACGTGCTGTTCTGGTGTTACTACAAGTAGCAGAATAAATGAAACCACAAAATGGGCTGAGAAACTTTACAAGATAGGTAGGTACATAGTACTATATTCTGTTAGAGGGACGTGGTGGTGCTGTGGGCTAAACCAGTGGTTCTTAACCTTTTTGAAAGAAACGCCCCCTTGAGCCATTTAGGAAGTTATCATCGCCCCCCTCCCTGCGGTGATATCTTGTTTGTTTGTTTGTTTATTTAAGACACTTAAATGCAATGACCCCTGAAAACAAAATTCAATTCCAAGAAAATCAAATGCCCCCAAAAAGTAAAATTTAATGATTTAGTTGCAAGCGAATTTTAAGACGCAAAAAGAAATATTAAAAGGGCATAAAAACAAACCGCAATGCAGGAACTAAAAATTCCAAGACGAAAACTCTGAAACTAAATTAAGATTGGAGGAAAATATATATTCATGCACATTGTAAACAGGCTGCAGCCATCTTCACAGGTTTGGCTTGCTCCAGCGCCCCCCTACCGCCCCCGCTTGCTTTTGTTTGGTGATTGGCCCATTTGCCTGTAGATCCTTCAAACAGCAGCTATGAAGAATGTTCTTCTGCAGAGATAATATGTTATTACAGTACCTCAGAAATACTAAGTTGTCTGTCTCCATTTCTAACCAGAGATACCTACTTTGAGAAGGTATCATCTCTTTCCCTCAGACCCTAAAGCAGGGGGACAACCTGTAGCCAGATGCAGCCATTGACCATTCCTCATATGGACACCCTACCCACTTTCCTACATTCCATTGCAATTGGAAGGAAAAACGTGCTGTTCTGGTGTTACTACAAGTAGCAGAATAAATGAAACCACAAAGTGGGCTGAGAAACTTTACAAGATAGATAGGTACATAGTACTATATTCTGTTCAAGCCCTGTCTAGAAATTCATTTTGACTCTAGTGGGGAGAATCCCTTATAAAATCCCAGGAACCCTTAAGAATTTGCTATTCCTGCAGATTCCTTGGACCTTCATATTCAAGCCACAAGATTGGAAGATTAGGTCCTGGGGTCACCCTAGCCCCAAGGAAAAAGGGCCTGCTTGAACCAGGACCTGGCTAAGAGTCAGGAGAGGGGGTAGGACTTCCAAGGTCTATTTAAGCTCCCAAGCTGTCATTCCAACTCAAGAGGACCTTTGGGATGATCTGCTCTGTTAACTTTTAGGAACAGCCAGTATGGTGTACTACGCAGAGACTCAGGGGGCCTGGGTTCAAATCCCTGCTCGGCTATGAAAAACTGGCTTGAAGTGACTTGATGGAACATAACAAACATGTTTTTGATAAGACACTCCAGAAGTGGGAGAATGGGCAGTATTTCATGCATTTTAATCTTCTCTACACATTGCTGCAAGGAGAATTTGTAGCCCACAGAATCCACACATCCTTTAATTCTGGTCCCACAATCTCTCACTAACTCATACTCATGCATTTCCCTCCCAACTTCCCAGCATAACCAAACCCCCTAAACACCCATCAGTCCGTCACTTCTCCTTGAATCCACAATTAATTTAGTATATCCCTCACTGGGGAATTTTACCATTGAGTCTCCATCAACAACCAAAAAAATGAGAATATACGGTATGTTGTTTCTTTAAAAGGGACCAATTAGAACGAGGACTGCTCTCTTGCTATGCTTAAAATGTGCTGGAAGCCCATGCTGGAGCAATCTCGTGAGATGACCATTTGTGCTGATCAAAGTGTTTGTACCATTCAAAATGATGTCTCCCTCTTTCATTTCTTCCTGGGTATTCTCATAGTTGTCATCATCTAGAGCAAAAAGAATTAGAATGATTTAGGTCACTCATACCTTTGTCAGCCTGTGTGTCTTGTTTCTCCCTGTACCGCCACCTAGTTTTTCTCTTCCGCGTCCTGTGAACGTAGTATCAGTTCCCCTCTAAACCAACCTGTTTTGCTTCTGATAACAGCAGATCTTGGACATGTTGTTTACCTTGGATTACAGCTCATACGAGCACCTTATGACCATGTTGGCTGGAGAATTAAGGGAGTTTAAGTCCTAAAAGCTAAAGCTTCTTAGCTCTGGGTTGCAGCACCTGATATTCAGAGCTTGGAAATTACACTTTTGGACTGCAACTCCCAGAATTTCCAACAAACAAGCATGGTCGCTGGCCGTATTTAGAGGTGGGGGTAGGTTGGATTTTGGAAGCTAGAGTGTTAAAAAGTAAAGTTTTGAAGCTTTGCTGGCATCTACCTAAGGGTCCTCTCTATGTTTAGAGAGTATGGTATTTATTATGTCACACTCTAATACAATGCTTTTAGATTGGAATCAATCTAACCATTTCACACAAATCAATGTGAGCCATTTCCCCAGCACAGAGCAGCACTGGGCTAGGTATCCTCTTATAAGCAAACAGCTGCTAACATCAGGTACTGATATTCACACTGGGCCTCAGCCATAGGTGTCTGAGCTCCTGTTCTGTTTTTTGTACTGAATTCCAATTCAGTTCTATAGCCTACAATTTCCTGCAGTGCAGCAAGAGATTCTGGATTGAACTGTCTTGATTTTAGGCAGAGGTTGACTGTAGAAAGCCATGAGATGGCAGTTTTTTGTGGTCTCCCCTTTCCCTCATCCCCCTAAAGTAATGTATTTTCAGTGACAAATGATGGAAGAAACCACTGTAATTTCAGGAATGAAGGTGACACAATATCACCAGCAGAAAATACCAATGACTTGAAATGGCAATGGATGAAAGTTAAAGAAGAAAATGGAAAATAGGATTACAGTTGAATTAAGACTTCTTATTACGGAAGAATTGCATAACAGTAATGTAGACAATGAAGAAATCAAAATTGCTACAGATTTTCTGTACTTTGATTCATCACTCAAAATAGAGACTGTAGTCAAGACAGGAGAAGATGACGAAAGTTTGAAAGGGTACAGAAAACTCCCCTGACGGATTTTTTCAAAATATGATGTTGAAGGAGAACTTTATGGATACCATATTGGCGGAGAGCCTTATATTCTTCAAAGATAGCAGGTGGGTTTGAGAACAGTCAAGACTGAATTCTCATTAGAAGCTAAGATAACTAAACTGAAATTATTGTATTTCGGACAATCACATGAGAAGGACGAGAAAAGACAATGATGCTGGGAAAAACAAGAGGCAGTAGATAAGAGGAAGACGTAACATGAAATGACTCAGTAGAAGAAGCCACAACCTTTAGTTACAAGACTTGAGCAGGGTTGTTAAATGACAGTATGTTTTGAGGGTCATTGCTACCCAGGGTCTCCATCATTTAGAAAGGACTTGACAGAACCTAAGGTCAACTGCAATGCTGCAAAGGATTCTCGATTGCTGCCCCATGACTTTCCACAGTTAATCAGTAGGGTGGTGTCAAATACCTAACTGACACAGTGCAATATACTACGCATACACCTTGTGGGCCTAAAGTTCAACACCTTACAAATTACTTTCCCACTGTATATCCCATTTACCATCCGATTTGAGTTCTGTTTCACTGTCTGGATGTTCATACTCTTCTTCATCTGAAGGAGCGAAAGAGAGAGGGAGAGAGAGAGAGAAATAAACAAACAAGCAAAGGTGGATACAGCCTAACAGTACTCATTTGATAAGACTTTGGTAGCAGTTATTATGTTCCCCCTCTGCCACTCTGTTGGGCTGCATAAATATTTTAGGACATAATCCAAGATGTTATTTTGCCCCAAGGGCCACAGGTAACCATAAGCTGGGGCCGTATCACAGTGGTTGACGTAGCTTGGGCTCCCCTTGCACCATCTTCGCATGAGATACACAACTTTCCCTTCCTATCCTCCTCCCCACTTTCCCCCTATCATTATGCATACTGAATCCCATTACTGTTCCTTTGCTCCAGTACTATCTAGCACTGCATATAGTTCAGGAATGAAACAAATATTGTTGTTACTTTCCCCTTCCCCTGTAATTCCTGGAATCGCCAGCGGTCATGTCCGCAGGTAAATCTTAGGAGCTGTACGGAAAGAAATCCAGAAAAAGACTTCCCAGCAGGAGCTCCTCGGCTGTCTCCCATGCCAGTGAACTAACCAATGGGGAGACGGTCAACTCAGGTAGGGAAGGGAGCAGTGGGAAGCTGCAGATCAGCCACATGGAGAGCGCCTATGTAGCCATACTGAAGTAGGAGATGAAAAGGCAAAGCCTTTCCTAAATGATAGCAAACTGTACCTACTGAGGGATCTCTTAAGATGACTTGAAGGGAAATAAAACCTCAGTCTTTGTAGAAAGCCAGCTCAACTCTCCCCTATCACACTGATCTTATGCCTATTGGGGTTTTCCATACATCATCATCCCACCGTAGTGAAGCATTCAATCATGACGTTTCCTCTACCTGCACTCTGCAGGAACAGCTTTACTATGTACAATCTTCTGTTTCGGTGAACTCGACCGAAGTTCCTTCCCTCCTCCACTCTTACCCACCCCACCGCCCAATTGCTGTTGTGCTCTGCATAAGAAAACAGCACAGGGGGGTTGCTGCGCTCTGGCTGCTTGGTGTGCCCTCTGCATAGCTGAACTGTACTGTGAAAGGCCTGCCATGTGCTGCTCCCAGGGTCTTGCCGTAAGCGCTTGTGCCAGGGGTTTTGTGGTTTGAAGCCTCCATGCGTACCCAGTGCCTCCTCCACCTACTCTCCCCATGAAGGAGGTGTCGCTCTCTTCCTTCCCCTTCAAACAGGTTTACACATTTCCTGTGCAACGTTTTGCTCCTTAGCTCACATCTTACAAGGCAACCACAAATTTAAATTTTTGATCTGCTTTTTAACCCCCTTTTTTCTTCTCACGCTTGCAGCATATATGGTTGTACCTTTCTCTTACAAAACAAAAAATGCATAAGAACTCAGAAACATTTGCAACAGCTCTTCTTATCAATAAATTACAGCTTTTACAGCAGACTCTGCTCATGTCAAAAGAGCTTGCTGGGAACATCCCACCACCACTCCGCCACACTATCACCCAAATGTCATGCTAGAGCTTTTCCTATTTAAGCCTCCCGTCCGAAAGCACCTCTTAAATTCCTTGGCATAGAAAGTGGAACTTTGGGGAATTTTTTACCATAACTCCCAGAATCCCACAGCCAACAGAGATTCTGGGGTTAGAAAAGTTTTTAAAAAATAACTGGCAAGGTTTAATTCATACTCTGGACCCACAGGGTGAATCGTCACATGGCAGGCCACCATCTTCAAAAGCAGGCCCATCTAATAATGTGTAAAGCAGAATTGCAGTGTTTAATGCTCAAATGTGGCAAAAATTCTCCCTCCCTACCATTTTTGCTCAATCCCATAATAATCAGGGATCAGTTCCAATATCAAAAACCTATTGAGAATAAACAGTCTAAGGCAGGGGTCCCCAACCCCCCCCATCTGTGGCCCACTTCAGTCTATGGCCTTCGCAGAACCAGGCCATGGAGACGAATCTCATACTCCCCCCATGCATGCCCACATGCAGGCATGGCCTGCCCACCCACACAGATGGGTCCCCGCCCACTCACACATGCGTGTGAGGGTGCCCTGCTCATCCGCAAGCGCACCATGCCCACCTACGAGCGAGCCATGCTCACCTGCATGAGTGCACCCCACACACCGAGTGTGCCACACACATCTGTGCATGTGCGCAAGCATGCCACGCTCACATCTTTGCATGTGCACAAGCACGCCACGCAAGTGCGCCATGCCCACCTGTGAGCACACTGTGCCCACTCGCGAGCGGGGAGTGCTCCCTGCACAGACCCTGCCCCCCCCCAACTGGTCTGCGGAAAAGGTTGGAGACCACTAGCCTGAGGGACAGATCCTGGAATGGTAGAACCTGAAAACAGAGGACAGGGAGTGTGCTCCCAACCCCTTCACTCTATGATCCACTTCACATCAGATACACACACGCACCGCTTTAGGTGTGGCTGCAACATGCCTATGTCATGGGGCCCTCATGCTGTCATTTTACAAAATATCATAGAATAACTGAGTTGCCAGGGGGCTACAAGGTCATTGAGTCCAAGGCTCTGCTCAATGCAGGAATCCAAATCAAAGCAGATCTGACAGATGGTTGTCTAATTTTCTCTGGAATGCCTCCAGTGCTGGAGTGTTCACTACCTCCCAAGATATTTGGTTCCATTGTTCTACTGCTCTAACAGTTAGGAAGTTTTTTACTCTCACTCAGAATGTTCTCCTTTCATTCTTCAAATGCCTAAGGGCTAAATAAAGTGTGACATGAGTGAGGTCATTATCTTTTTTGACTTCTTCCCAAGAGTGGATGGTGGGATATACGTAAGTACTGTACTTTGGCATGAGGAAAGCGGCTGCTTTTCAAAGCGGCTGCTTTTATCCCTGCCGGGGTCCCAATTACCCCTTTCCTCCAACAGATGCTGATGACTCTGCTCTGGATGCTTGTGATTGAATAATCAGCTCCAGGTTTTAGTTAGAATTTTAGAAGAGCTATCTGGGATGCTGAACCCTGTTTCCAAAATAGTTTCAGCATGCTGTATAATTCCTAAAAAGTTCAGAGTAGCAGCGAGAGGGAGACAGCAGTGGCAGCAGCTCATGTTCCAAGCGGGAAAGGTGGGGCGCTGCCCCTACTCCAGTTGATGGTTGCTTTGTGGAGGGAAGTTCCCACTAGTTTCAAATCGTCCTCTTATTTTAAATATTACACTTGGAAGGGCAGGGAGAAAAGACCCTGATCCCCTCCATAGCAAGAAAAAATCTGCTAAAGCTCCCATTCACTCAATGTCATAACCCCAGTCTGATGCTTCCTCCCCCATAAACTATTTTTTATAGCCACACAAGATGAAAGATGTATAGATAACATCTTATCCAGTTGGGCCTTGCGACATTATTTGTGGTCTCAGTATTTGTCTTCTCCACCACCACAACCTAAGCATACCTTCCATGTTGACGTTATTGGGCAGGATCTTCCCTTTCTGAAGTAGCTGCCGGCCACTCCTCGGACCCGTGTCTTGTACTACATTCTCATACGAGAAATCATCTGTGGCTTAAGAGGGGGAAAAATGCAAGCCTTATAAAAATCGTCCTTATTTCACCCAGTGACTACTTCTAGAGGGAAAGCTTGTGTTAGTCCTTTGCAACAAAAGTATTATTGGACTACAATACCCAGAAACCCTGACCAGCTCAGCTAGTGGTGAAGGCTTCTGGGAATTGTAGTCTAAGGAACCTAGGTTGCCCAAGTTTGGGAACCACTAGTACAGGAGGTCTGAATCTAGCCTTACAACTTTCCCTGGATGCCCCCTTCCCAGGCCCCTCGGCCTCCCCCCAGTTCTTGTCCTGTAGGCTAAGAAGGGTAGCAAAGAGAAATTTCTGCTGTTATCTCCGATCAGTGATCAGAGACAATAGTAAGAAATCCCTCGTGTGACTCTTCCTCCCAATCTGGAGAAGAGGACAAAATATCACCTGCTCAGAAAGCATTTGCAAGAGCGGGACCAGAGTTTCAACCTTCCTCGCTCTCTCCTGGGCAAGAAGGAAGGAGCAAGAGCAAATTTGGATTCCCAGCATAAGTGCTAAGTGAAGAATTTCCACCTGGTGCTCCACCTGAGGACCTCAGAGGTTGTAGCAAAGCCTGCTGATGTCCCATTCTCCATATAAGCCTAGTGGGAGGACCTTTAACCACCCATCTGAAACTAACTCTTCACCACTGCTGCATCAGGTAGTTATAAAATGGATGTCTGGAACACAAAACAAGAGTTAATTCTCTTAAGTGGGAGGAAAGTAGTGAGTCAGTAACATACCATATTGATTTCCTGGGTGCATTAGAATCCCATTGGAGATGTGTCCCTTTTTCCGCTTGGCATAAAAATACCTTCCAGAAACCAGAACACAATACAGTGTAACATTAATGGAATATTGACACATGAATTTGACACAGCCCACTATGAGGGCCTTAATGGGCCCAAGTGGCAGGATATACATTATTAAATGAGCTAGACAACCATAAAAATGTAAGTGGATTGGACATCATAAGGTGTACACCAAATTCCAGAAACTGGATGTTCTAGTCACAGGATTTTGGAGTCCGTCATCTGCCTTAGGAGTTGCTTATACAGCCAGCCCCATCATGTCATGTTCTTCTTGGTTTATTGGAGAATCCTTGTTTTCCAGCCTAATTAATGTAGGGATGGAGGCCACCAATCTGTCTGAGCGTCTGCAGTCTCGCATGCTGCCTTTAATATTTTGGCTGAAAGGGATCTTTCTGGGTTAGGGTGACTGTCACTCTGTCCAGCACTAATCAATTGATATACATTATTAAATGAGCTAGACAACCTGCCTCTCTGCTCAGTCTTTCCCGCCTCTCTGTTGTCTGTTGGTAGCAGACAGTAAGTCCTGTTAAAGTCTTTTGCTGCGAGCACTCATGTTTGTCAGTTTGCTGTTTCAAAGAGAGCCCTGCCTTTCTGCTCAGTCTTTTCCCCTCTCTCTATTGTCTGTTGGTAGCAGATAGTAAGTCCTATTAAAGTCTTTTGCTGCGAGCACTCATGTTTGTCAGTTTGCTGTTTGATCTGTTCAGTAATAAAACTTCTTAATCTTTCTCTTACAAATGTCTCTGAGTGAATTATTGAGACTGTAAGTGCCAGTTGAGTGATTGACTAATCTGGGGAGCTTGAAGCTATTCTGCTCTGTAAATCCCTGCACTTCTGCTACACAGCTAGAGGAATTTAACCAAAAATTCTCTGCAACATAGTCTCTCAGGTTCTTCCACTACTGATTGTAACTCATCTTTTCTCCACAAACTTCACTGTTATCAACCATCCTTGCATTCTTGCTCACTCTGATACTTGCCTCCCACCAGGAGACTTCTTTTTCATCTGTTGCTTACGAGCACGAGCAGCTGAAATTGAAGAGAAAGGTTACAAAATGGTTGGTATGAAATAATTTCTCTCCAAAAGCCATCCTACCTTGCCAAAGAGCTTCACATATGCAAACACACACATGTACTGTAGATGAGTTTCTCCTGAAAGCAATGTATCAGGTTAGATTTTGGAAAAGTGCTGACTAGGTAATTCTTGGAGCAATAATCCATAAAAGCAACTTTTCCAAGATTGATCAGGAGGCATGAAAATAGCTATATGGTGCTGGAGCAAAAATTGAACATGGCCACGATAAAGGAGAGCTGTAGTCCTTAAAGACTGACAATTTTTAGTTCAGCACAAGCTTTTGTGGAACAGCATCCACTTCTTCAGACACTGAAATGCAAATACAGTATACAATCAGTATATTCATACGTATCCTCATGACCAGTTGAAGATACTAATAATAAAGCGATAACTGTTTGTTAACACAGTCATGGGACAATCAAACTGTTAATTACTTTAATTAGCAGGTCCTGGCCAGGGCAGTAGCTGTAGGCCAAGAAGACTTGACTGCTACAGAGATGCTGAGAGATTTTTCTGGGAGACATTCTTTAAAGCACAACAATATTTTATGCTTTCTTTTTCTTTGGCCAACTTGTTTGTCCGTTCACTTTCTGCTGACAGTACACAAAGTAAAATCTACATGGCCCCATAAGTCACTTTTATGTAGGCACAGATTATTTTGAAAGCATTAGGTTTAAGCTACAAGCACTGAGAGAAGGAGTTACAGGAAGAACTTCATCATTAAATACTGTGTTGTGATTGATTTTAGCTGTGCGCCTATAACACTCACCACGTTGGAGCCATAGGAAGCAGAAAACAGAACTGACACAGACAACGGCACAGCCTAGAGCCACTATCCATATTATCCAAAGCTGATCTCCAAGAAGTTTCCAGTTGCCTTTTAAGAAGTATGAGGGAAAAGGGTTAACTTGGCTCTGTTTTTAAACATGTCTCTATCAGAGGTGGGAAACAATTCATTAAAAATTATTCATTACCCTAATTCTTTCAATTTTTGAGCAGCACATTTAAAGGGTGATATTTTAATTGTTAAATTCATAAATGGTGCTTTTTCAACGTTTCTGTTTATGTTAGCTTGCTATGGTCATTTCTTCTAATTGTAGATGACATATAAATCATAACAATTCAACAGATTAATCAACAAATGAAGTAGCAAGTTAACATTTCAAGATCAACAATGTCTATAAATTCGCGAAGGCTTTCATGGCCGGGATCTAATGGTTGTTGTGGCTCTTTGGCTGTGTTCTGAAGGTTGTTCTTCCTAACATTTCACCAGTCTCTGTGGCCGGCATCTTCAGAGGACAGCAGTGCTTAATTATTTCAGCTTAATTGTCAAATTCTGCTTTGTAATTAGGCTGCAACTTGGGGAGAAAAGGTTCATCTGTTCATTACACCAGCTTCAAATCACTTTATCACTTTAAATTTTAATTGATATTGATCATCCTCCTGCAAGATATCACCCTTCAGATGTGTTGAATTACACCACCCATTCTCAAGGGAGGGGGTATGGCTGGTGGTCTGGAAACAATTCTTCACACACCACCTTATAAAGTTCCTTCTGCAATTTAGAAAATCTTAATTCACACTATATTTCTTTCATATTGTTTTTATGTTTTACCATGGTAAAAACAAAAGATGAGCCTAGCTGGATTACACCACTCATCATCCTTAGTCCACCATAGCAATTGGAAAGATGGCAGCCACATCCCAATTTATTTGGATGGTACCAAATTTTAGAAAGAAGGCTTCTGGGTCAGAAAGGCTTATTGGTCTACTGGAAAATACTTCTGAAGCTAACAAGTTCATTCCATGAACTTCATTCTGCCCACTCGTGACTTACTCTTTGCCTTCACCTCTAGCTGAAAACGGTGCCTGTGATTCTTCCATTGGCAAGTGTAGGTTCCAGAATCATTAGAGGTTACTGATGGAAGGATTAAAAAGATGACATTGGATCTCATGCTTAGCCAGGAACGAGAAGAGCGCTGTATTGTTACATTTATCAGCACTCTCTCTATTTCAGACATTGAATCATGCTCAATCCAGAGCAAGGAGCCCTTTGTCCAGTTGCTGGGTGTTGAGGCATTACAGGGGAATGATTTCAGATCCATTTCTGGCTGAGCAAATTCTTTCCGGTGACCTATAGAAGAAGATGGTAGTTGCAGGTTGAGTAGAAACATAGTGCGAAGCTAAAATGTAAAATCTTAAACTCTATTTAAAATTGAATTTTTAAGAACACTTCAGAAAACCTCAGTCTTGTATCAGCGTCCCCCCCCCCTAAAGTGGAACCTTCTGGCTGCTTTTGGGCCACAATTCCCATCATCCCCAGTGAGTCAGAAAGACTCCAAGACATGTGGAGTGCACCATTGTGGGGGAAATGGTCTTAAACCTGACGGATAAATGTTTAAAGAGCAGTGCTTAGATCTAACTGACCACGGGAGGTTTGACATTTGTTTTGAAAACATCTCTATATTTGCCCAATAAAAATGCTTGAAGAGAGCCAAGCAAGAGCACACCCCACTCCAGTCTTGTTTCAAAAGCCGCCTTAGGGAACAACTAAGGTTTACTGCTCATAGCGCTCACCTAAATCACCATTTGGCTCATGCCCCCTTCTTCCTAGGTGACACTATTGGCATGTCCTCTTGCCTAGCAGCTCATCCAAGGGAATTCCCTCCCATTATCTAACCCAGTCCAGACCTCTGGATGGAAACCCACCAGTTCAATCTCCTCTTTTGTCCCATTCACTTTTCTCCAATCCCTACTAAATCTTCCAGTAAAATTCCAGTAATGCTTCCCCCTAAAAAAAATCACAACCACAGAACCCCCACCCCCCAAGACAATTTCAGTTTTAAGAACTTCTAGCCCCGACTCCTGCTTCACACTCAAACATGGAAAGCAACCTTTGATGTCAACCTGTTTGGCTAGCATTAAAGGAAAGGAGCTGTTACCACTACTTGAATCCTCCTCTCCCTCACTGTCTTCTAGTTCCTCTTCAAATGTGTCAGAGTCATCATCACCTGAATAAAACAGACCCAAATGACTGCCCATCTCGCTTTTTCCGCAGCCCAAACAATCTACCCTAGTCTTTTATTTATTTCCTCTGCATGCTCTCATTTTTAACTGGTAATTTCCTCTATATGGGATGCAACTTCCAGTGATGGAGTAAGGAATAGGAGATGCACTTTTACCTTGTGCAGGGCATTAGCTATGGAAATCCTGCAGGGGTATGAGGCCTGTTCTGTGCTGGATGCTGTCATTTTCCCTTGGCCCCTTGCCTCTCCCTCCATTAGGGTTGCCAGGTCAGTGTTCTGTGCTGGATGCTGTCATTTTCCCTCGGCCCCTTGCCTATCCCTCCATTAGGGTTGCAAACATTCTTTGATATTTCAGGGATGAAACCTGGGATGATAGCATATTATGGGGCACAGCTGACAAACAATGGAGTGGATGAGTTTTTTCTTAGTTTCGTGCCCCTGCTGCCAGGCCTTGTGCTCAGGGGTCACAGTACTGGTGATCCACATCCTGCCTTGCTCCAGATGGCATGGTGGTGCCAAGAATATGGAAGAGAGTGGAAGGCGCATACGCTTGGACCTGTTGTGCCATCTCAAGCAACACAAACACCTTCACACTGAGCCAGTGAACTCTGCCACCAGCTAGGAACATGTGGAAAATACGCACAATCCTCACCATCATCTTAGAACTGCAGAGCTGGAAAGGACCCTATGGATCATCAAATCCAGATGGGTGGTGCCAAGAATATGGAAGAGAGTGGAAGGCGCATACGCTTGGACCTGTTGTGCCATCTCAAGCAACACAAACACCTTCACACTGAGCCAGTGAACTCTGCCACCAGCTAGGAACATGTGGAAAATACGCACAATCCTCACCATCATCTTAGAACTGCAGAGCTGGAAAGGACCCTATGGATCATCAAATCCAGATGTTGTCAAGGAGAGCTGGAAAGGACCCTATGGATCATAAATCCAGATGCTGTCAAGGAGGCACGGTGGGGAATTGAACTCCCAACCTCTGGCTCCACAGTCAGATTACTTAAATTGCTGAGCTATCCAGCTGTTCCAACTATCTCCTCCTTAAGTGTAGCCCAGTCTGAGATTCCTCTCCTTATGTGCAGACTGGGAGAAAGAGAGCCCTCTCAGGAGAATTCATTCACAGGGCTGAAACCTGGCAATCTCACCATCCCTCCTTATTCAACAGACTATGTGGCACATGTTCTGACCCTGCACAACAACATTGCCCATTAATTCAGCCTATATGGTTAAATGGGCCATGATATGTGCACAGTTACAACGAGCTCGTAGACTGGGTGGAAGGGGGTGTGATTTTAAGAAGCCTGTGTTGTAAATATTACAAGACTGATTTTATTATCTCCTTGGACATTCCTCCCAGATCTGTGATCCTTGACTCTTGACATTTTCATGAGTCGAACTACCAACATGGCTTGCCCTGAAACAATGCTTGTTAACGCATCCAAAAAAGACATGTAATTGACTGTACTATTTTGGCAATGGGGCACATTACTATTTTGTACTGTTTGCATGGATGCCTTGCTGAGTTTTTTTTTTCCTGGGCTTTCTTTTTGTCTCCTGACCACATGGCCTGGGGGTGGGGCCTAGGGATGTATCTCTGGCCTGAATATGGTAAATAGGAAAGCCAATTAGATTTGCATAAGCCTGGGAGTTAGGAAAGTTTTAAGGATCAGATCATACTTTTGCACTATTAAAGAGCAGGCTGGGTAGGTGGGGCTCGTCAGCCATGGAAGGCAGCCCATCTAGGAGAAGGAAAACTCCAATTTCAAACCTCCACTGCCTTGTGGCTATATCCACTCATGGAAAAGGCTTCAGGAGTTAACCTCGAGGAAGAATCCGGAGCTGGAGTCCCGAAGGCAGTTCCTGTCGTTCTGCCAACTCCTGCGATGTTGCTGGAACCAGTTGTATTGGCTCTTGCCTTTCCATTGGACCATTTCAGCAATGTGGAGAGGGGGGATCTGCTGCTTGGGTAACAGCCTATCCTCCATATTACCTTACCCGGGCTTCATGCTCTGGAGAGGACACTCCTCGATTCAGAGCATGTTACCATAGTCTCTCGAGACTGAAGGATGCCTATAAAAAATTTTGGCAATGGGGCACACTGGGAGCTGTGATGACTCAAGAAGGCATAGGTGGGGATAACTAATCTTATACCCAGTCATTCCCATTGCTGGCCAGTGGGATGGTGGAAGGCAGGTCCATGTGAATGCAGTAAATCAGTCCTCAGTCTTAGAGTGAGATTGCAACAGACATACAGAATGTGTTCACACACTACAATCAGTCATGGTCTGTTGTTTAAGCTATGAATGGCACAGATGGCCAAGCAAAGGGTCCCTTGCCTTCTCCTTCTCTTATAGTTTGTTTCTCCTGCACCTCTTTTATCAGCTGTTGCATCAGTATAGGCAAACAGGGAAAACAAGCTATGGACCGGCCATGGTCACAGGTTCAGAGGTCACAACAAGCCATGTTTTAATGAAATTAGACAGAGCAGAACAGCTGACTTGCTATTTGTGCTGGTGGTTTGGTGATAAAGGAGTAGTATTGGTATGTACTTGTTATAAACATTCACTTATGCTCTGCCTCTGTACATGTGTACATTAGAAGTGATGCCTGCTGAAATTTCCTCTTCTAAGGAACTATTAAAACTAGAAAAACCCTACCTTCTCTCTTATCTGATTACCCATATCTACCACCTAATTCTACCAAAACCAAAATCTTAGAAAACATGCATAGCTCAATAGTTCTTACCCTTCAGAAGATGAGGATTTCAAAGGCATAATATTACATTTTTATTTAATATTATGCTATTATTTACATCCACACCCCTCCTTACCATCTGTGTCATTGTCAAAGTATTTATGCTCTTCAAGGTGTTCATCTACAAGGTAGGAAACAAAAAGTAAAGGTAACATGACAAAAACCATTTGTTATAGATATCCTGTAATTAGAAGAAGGAAATGCTTAACCAAATAAAACATCTGATTGTTATAGCAAGAACTTTTCTTGCCTGTTAAGAGTATGTAAATTATCCTGATTTATTTGGTGACTGGTCTTCAGGACTTAAGCACAAGATTCATTTAAAGTCTGATTTTGCAAATTCTAAAGACATCTCCAGTGTTGTTGTGCTTTCATCCCTAATTCTGGATTAGCTGTAAATGTGTTTCTTTTCAAACTTTACCATATCTTTATTGTGGTTTTTGCAGAGATGCTTCCCTAGGTAGTAAAGATATCTGGTTGCCACAGTAAGAGATTTTCCTGACTATGTGTTTTGTTTTGCGATTGGTCGCTGGAAGGTAAAAATGGACTTAATTTGTAAGTCTGACTATTTAGGCTTATATTTGTGGTGGTGGGAAGCATGTTAATCATAGAAACATTTGCCTTCACTCCTAGTTTGACCCCTCCAAGAAACAGAGGTTCGGATCATAGCATATGAGGTGAAAATTTAACTTGTATGATCAGAACAGTCAGCCTGGAGGCAAGCGTTGCATCAAGGCCTCTGCCAATTTGAAGAGACCCTTGTCCAGCAGGCCGAGGCAAAGAAGAAGTCACGAAAGCAGCAAAATCAGGGAGCTGCACAGGGGACAGATTGTATTTGCCTTCAGTGTGGAAGGGATTATCACTCTTGAATTGGCCTCTTCAGCCACACTGGATGCTGTTCCAAATCCTCCATACAGAGCAAGTTACCATAGTCTTTCGAGACTGAAGGATGCCTAATGTAATGTCCCACTTGAATTGTAGGCAGGAGTTTGAGATACACTCCATGTTCAAGGGAAATCAGTATATGTTTTCTCAGTGTTAATTAATTAATTACATTTCTACCCCACCATTTAGTGACAGGCCACTACTCTGGGTGGGTTACTACAGAATATAGAAATAACAGAAAAATATCAGAAGAAAAAAGAACCACCCTCCCTAAATCCCTAGGCCCATAAACATCACAAAGGTACAAACCCAAGACCCAAGATGGCGTCAACAATAACATCATGTTGAACAACAAAATCAGATGGTCAGAAAATAAAATGCTTTAAATTGCATAGGGAAGAGATTCTCAAAGGTGTAACTGAAGAAGCATGTTTTTATTTGCTTTCTGAACGCTGTGAGGGTGGGGGCTTGAGGCACCTCCGCCTGAAGCGAGCTCCATAGAGAGGCAGCCACCACTAAGAAGGCCCAGTTCCTAGGAGCAGACTTTTGGGCCTCTCTGAGGATGGCCACCCATAACGTCAAGGCTTGGGAGCTGCAGGTGGAACAGGTGGTAGACCTGAGAAGAGATGCTTTGCCAGATGGTGAGGTCCTAAACCATTCTACTGTGAATCTAATGAAGATTAAACTTCAGAGCCCCTAATCTCCAGAAGCGACATTAGTCCACATTTTTTTTAAAAAAAAGTGATGATCTTCATGAAACAACCCCGTTTAAGATAACAGTGGTCACTCAGACCTTGATATAACAAGACAAGCTTCAAGGCTTCCAAAACTGAGGTCCAGAAGTTCTTAGACGACAACCCAGGTAGTGAAGAATCTGTAAAAGGGATATCACAGGAAAACACTTCTCAGAATCAAAGCTCATGCCCATACAAGGATGGCCCAGACTGTTCTTTTAAGAGACTTATAGCTTGTTGAGTAAAAGTTAAAGTAAAGCCAGTTTTCCCTGTTGGGGCCTTGTAGTTCTGGTCTGATCAGAGCAGAACTGTTACTAATTCATAGGGATGCTGCAAATTAGAAGTAAGGGGGCAGGGGGGGATGGTATGTTGAACTGGGTCATGTCTGGATTGTATTAATAAATGCTGATGTTTGCAGAAAATTTGGATACGCTAAAATTCATTCTACAGAATGTGATAGCAGTCCATATTACAAACACTGTTTAAAGAGGAATTTTCAAATGCCCCTGTCCAGGGAAAAAAAATTAAAGCCAGAACAGTAAGCATATTTCCTAACACCGTTAAAATGCAAAGCATTTAAATCTCTTTCATTAATAGTATGGATTTGAAGTAAAGCTACAATAATAATATATATATTTTGGAACACTATATGATGGAAATAGATCTCTCCCCTCTTATAAACAGAGCTTGGAAAAATTACATTTTGGGGCCATAACTACCAGAACACTTCAGCTATGTCTCTTTTCTGATTCAGAGAAAATCAGAGAGTTGTACATAATGCCTGATAGGTTTCATCTGATGGCGAAGACTAATCTTCACAGATTTATTTGCATATTATCTCTATAGTTGTCTGCCTTCTCTCTATCTGATGTACAAGGCAGTCTGTTTAACTGGGTATGGGTAAGAGTCTGCCTCCAGGACCTTAGAGAGAGATTTTCTACCAACTGATATTTGGTCTGTTTAAAAAAAAAGAAATACCAGGAATTCTGCATGGGAATCATGTGCCTTATTACTAACTTGAGGTCCTCCAAAACAAGCTTCTTCATAAATCCCAAACTTCCTTTCCTTCTTCCGCATTTTAAGTTCGAAACCAAACTTTCAAACTGTGTTTAAAGTTTAAACTGTGTTTAAAGTTTGATTTTGAGAGGTACTCTGAATTAAAAAGCCACAAAACTTACATACTTAATGATCACATCTGAAGACTGTATGGGAGAATATTAATTTGCCTAAATTAAATACTTTACATTTTATTTTTGACCAGTTGTTCAGTATCACATCATTTGTAAATGTGGGAGAAGGACACAATTAATAAATATAACACATGCGTGAAGCATCCCTAGACAATGTTCTGCAGCTTTGTTCCTTGTGATCTTCTATACAGTGATTCCCGTTAATTCCATCCAGTCATGACTAGATGATGGGAGTAAAAAACAACTGAATGGATTCAATTTGGAGAAAGCTGCCACAGAGTTTTGTTATAGCCTGTCCACATTTTAGATACATTTTTTCAGAATGAAAAGACTCACCAGTTCCATTTGAAAGTTTGTACTTTGTCACTGAAACTTCATCCCACGTACAGTTAAACAACGTGTTATTATCTTCAGACGTGTCATAGAGCAAGCTCCATGCATCACCCAGATGGGCTTTGGAGTTATGGTACTTAGCATAGACAGAAAGCAGGTAGTCCCCGGATGGACTGATCCAGGTCAGAGAACTGGAAGTCAGTGTACGTTGAAAAGGGCACGGCAGGAACACTGTGTGAGATTCTGGGGGATTTAAGAGAAAAATACTGAACGTTTCATTTTAATCTCTTTCTTATTTTATCATGAGGGTAAAGGTAAAACTGTCTGTCTCATTATCCAAATGCTGATAGAAAAGCTTGGGCATATAAAAAGATTAGCTTTCAATGAAAATTTAGCAATATAGACAGTGAAGGAATTCTGGAAGGAAGTTTAAAAGCTGGGTGCAACCCCAAAAAGGGCCCTCTCTGCGGTCACTACCTGTTTCACGTCTGAATGTAGGGACAGCCAAAAAAGGACCTCTGGTAATTATGATCTTAGTACATATGGGCATATGTACACCTGCATAAATATATATATATTTATGCAGGTGTAGGGGAGAGAACCAAAGTCATTTGATCCTTATAGAATACAAAGGTAAGGGCATTGCAGTACCTTTATTTTTCTACTTTAAAAAATGAACAAATATCAACCTAAACCAGCCTTCATCAGGCTGTGCACTGTGGAAAATGCAGAGATTGGGGAGGGAGGGAGATTTTTTTAAAAAAAAACAGTGATACCAGTATAAAGTAATCTCCTATTTCTGTCTCTAAGTCTCTGCTGAAAATTATCAGTGCTGTGAGTTTTCCTTTTCTATCCTCATGACAGATAACTGCAGCCTTTCACAGTTATTAACTTCAGTTGTAGAATTTCTGATATCACAGCCCCCTGAAAAATGAAGATGTCCGTGTTGATCAACAACGTTTTCTTAGTTGCTGCACTAAGATTTAATTAATAACAGTGGTTTTCAGTTTAAAAGTCGTGATTCAAAAATGGAGGGAAAGTATGGGGAGGAAAAGAATAAAACAAGCAAACTTGAGTACCACAAGTTTTCTGTTTTTCACACAATGTGCTCTAATTTGGCAAGTTCCTTGCTTGTTAATCCAGATGCTTGGGGGAAAGGGAAAGGCACTCTGTATGTGGTCAGAAAGACTCTTCATGGCCATAGCATTTTACTGCTGCTCTGACTGGTGTCCTGTCTCCCATGCCACCCCCCAGCCTTTTATGACCTTCCCCATTTATGGAACCTACCTGTGGCTTCTACAATGTTCGTTGTGTTCTCCTGTGCTCTGCCGGCTGAACCCCACCATCCCAGCCAGAGCAGAAGCAGACAGTGCAGGATGGGTACCATTTCTCCTTTCCAGTCTTCCCCACTGCTCACGGGGCCCCAGTAACTGGACACTGGGAGGCTCAGGCAGCCCAAAAGGGGCGGTCACATTCAACCACTAGCTGCTTTAGCTGAAAAAGGGGCTCTCTGGAGCGTGAACTTCCCATCACAGTCCCCTGAGGGCTGAGCAGCTGCCCTGAGGGAGGAGAAGAAAACCAGAGAAATCATGTAAGAATGAGGAAGGCAAGAACCGAACTTTTGCAATGAGATTAGCCATGGGAAGTTTATTTCTCTACTTAATTTCTTTACTTCATTAATGTACTACCCTTTTATCAAGGCATTTAAGGGAGATTTCATTTTAATATATTAAAACCAAAAGGAAAAGTAACAAAAAAAGTAGACTTCAATTGAGACTTTCCTCAAGAGACTTCAATACGGTCTTTGCAGCCTCCACTTCTCCTTGTCTTCTTTCTCCCCGCAACACACAGAGATCTTTAAATAATGCTTAAGAAGAGGAGGAGGAGGAGCTGCCCCAACTGAATTTCCTCAGGCGGTCAGTGACACTTTGGCACTTGGGTAGTTCTTCAGTTTATGACACAGACTTCCAGACCTACTTATTCAAGCCAGCAGTTGCCAGTGCGCATAGAAAAACTGACTGGATCAATCTTTGGCTGTTTCAGATATTGCACCCCTGGACAGTCCTTTCCTTAATGCTTTGTCTGTTTAAAAAAACATGTTAGCAGGTCAGCCACCTAGTTTTCTAACAGTCGCACAGAATCCTGTGGGTTTTCTAGGGCACCATTTTGTTTCACAGGATGTTCTAGCTGAGTCTCTAGGCAGGGCCACACCATGTAGTGAGAAGCTGGATCTAGCAATCCTAATCTAGAAGACACCCAACATTACCTGGTGGATACATACTGAAAGGAAGACTAGCAACAGCAGACTGTCAAGGACATTCATCCAATCTGCAGCTGTCAGACTTTTTTTTCTTGTTCCTCTGCTGCCAGAGGTTGGCCACCATCATAGCTATTTTGGATGTGGATGCGGCCACCTTAAACAAGGATGCTGTATTTCATCCAAACCAGACTGTGATATTTTTTAGCCAAGAAGTTGTTATGAATAGGTATGGAACTTTGTTATGAATAGGTATGGAACTAGTAGTAATAGATACTGGTGGAAGTTAGGATACGTCCAGGCCAGTGGAAACAGTGCTGGGGGATTGTCTGGCTGGCAAAGGCATCTGAACTGTGCAAGCCTGCAAAGGGCAAAATCCTTGTGCAGAGAAGAAACTGTAAACAGTTGAACTGACAAGTCAATAGAAGAGGAACTGATAAACAACAAAGAATCAACAGGCATTGGAGGAAAACGGCTATAGAAGACATGATCTGGAAGTGATGAGAAAGCAACTTCAGGGGGAGAACCCTGAAACTGCAAAAATCTATAAAGGAAGGAGGACTGCAGCCTTTATTTGAAAAGACACCCACAGAAACATCAAGGCATGCGCATTTCCCTGTGCCCCTTTCTTTGGCCTAGCCAGCCAGCAGAAAGGGATGTGTGTGAGAAAGTCAGTGAATAACAGAGACAGGCGGAGGGAATGGATGTGTTGATATGATTCCCTGAGTATTCAGAATTACTAAACTATATAACACTAGAAATCTGATTGGTATCCATGACATTCTTTTTCGGATATACAGTACCACCTATAAGCATTTGTTTAAAAAAAATTCAAGAATTTGTAACTTATTTTCGCAATCATTTTTCTCTTGGATGATCTGCTGTAACAATCTGTACTTTCCATTTCTAATTTTGTAACAATGTGTTTTTTGTGTTCTTCTCTCATTCACTTTAATTCACACACAAAGCATTTGCTGCTATAGCACATGTTGTCTATGTACAATCAAATTAGTAAGAAACACATTTGAGATTCATTAGTCCGGGGAGAAAATGTTTCTCCTTCAACATCTATGGCAACGGGCATATGTCACTTGAGTTATTCATTGTAATTTTGTTTATATTCTAAAAATAGTGGCTAATTTTACAATTGTTCTTCTAAATTAGTAGATGTAGTTTTATGCAAATCACGCTGTCCACTTTTTCTTCCTTTTTTGGTTAACAAGTAGCCATCCTGTGATGTCCCAGCTCCCGTCTTTCACTACTTGAAAACCAAGTGGCCATTGGTCACCTCAGGTGTCCTGTTGCCATGACATTTTGTGCCACACCTGGGAGCAATAGACCATTTTAAGGGATACGGGGCCATGTTCACACATCTCTCTCCTTCAGCACCCCACTACTGGTTGCTCACTATTGAATTTATCTATCTATCTATCTATCTATCTATCTATCTATCTATCTATCTATCTATCTATCTATCTATCTATCTATCTATCTATCTATCTATCTATCTATCTATCTATCTATCTATCTATCTATC